AATAATCCAAACGAAAACCCGATTTGACACATAACATACCGGTCCATGAAAAATGAAGACGAAGCGAAAATGGCTAGGGTAACAGGTACCTGGTATAGTACTCTTTATGGGCCCTCTATCTCCGGTGTACCAGGAGGTACCGTAGCCTGACCATGGGACGCTTGGTGTGAGATCATTATATTAGAGGTGACGGGAACTAAACATTCATTCGCGATTCTTCCTTACAAGTACTTCAACAACCTCGTATGTTGATCAGAACTTTAAGGTAACTCCGCGGAAGCAAACATATGTACGACTTGATAAATCTGAATGCGTATGCTACGAACAAGTTCGTTAAGTTGTCGTGGATTTGTGGAAATCAATAAATTATTGTGGCATTGTTTCATCGTGATTTTAACGTTGTATTTAGTCCCGTCGATTCGCCATGGAGGAGTTAGCCCTTGCAAGTCGAACTTCTTCCATCCCATGTTTCTGTGTCTGACCAGACTGCCCAATCAGATCGTTTCAAATGGTTGAACCTCTATGTATTTCCGGACGCCGTCGGAAACGTCAACTGAAAAACCGGTAAAGAATATGTTTTACATTTTTTGGCTCTCTCAAATAAAAAAATCACAAGATCAAAAACTTCTTCCCAAAGTCTCACAAAACACAGAATCCAAAAAGATGAACAAAGGAATGGAAATCAGTCTTGTACGATCCCCAGTTTTCTCGCCGGGACAAATCTTCAAGAGATCAGTAGAGACCAAATCAGATGCCTCAACGTTGAGCGCGTCCTTTAGCAGTAGCGAGAGCGGAGTGCCTTCCTCCTCCTCTTCGTCACGGCTGTTGAACAACAAGATTCTCTCGGTTAGCCAGCACAAGAAGATAAACACGAAAGCTCAATGCCTGAAAAGGCTCAAGAAGTATGTCTCCCAGACTACCATTAGGCCCATCTCAGATATCACCATATTCCGATTCGCAAACTTCTACAGATTCGATTACTATGATGCACTCGAAGCCCTGGAAGATTACGACTCAAACAAACGCCTTCGCCTGCAAATGGAAGGAGATTTGTTGCTCCAATTCCAAACCAAGACAATATTTCCGCTTCCCAAGATGAAGACAAAGGACGGCAAATGCGACGTTTTCTATATGCGGCCAAGTCGCTACATTCCTTCCGAGATGAAAACCTCAGATCTCATTGATAACTTGTGCTTTGTTCTGAACGACCTCAGTCGAACCAAGATACAATGTCACAATGGAGTTGCGTTCGTTGCCAACATGAATGATTGGACCATGAAGAACTTTTCTCAAGACTATTGCTCTCAATTCATGCAAGCATTGCAAGGAAAGATGGTCCCAACCAAGGTCCAACTATTTCTCATTGTCAATCCACCTTCGTGGTTTGGGCGTATTTGGAAGCTTGTCAGGCCCATGCTCTCCAGGTCGTTTGCAAAGAAGATCCGAATCATCAAGGAAGATCGATTAGGAGAATTCCTCATGAATGGATACGAAGAGTACCTTCCAGATGAGTTCCACTCTGGATTGAAAGATACGGACGAACTATATGAAGATTACGAAGATCTCAAGTTTTACCATGACGATCGATGAGGCAGCGAGGAGACCGACAATCGTGCCGTCGGTTATTGAGAGATCGATCAATCAATCAATCATTTTAAAAGGGAACTAACTGTACACTCATGGGGCAGCAGTAAACTATAAACCATGTATTTTAGATATTCATACTGTACAATAATCATTCAATTCCTACTGTAGTAGCATTTGCACCCACCAGAACTGGTGCCGAAAACGGCGTTTGCACCACCAGTTACTGCGTTAATACCTACAGTACTGTAGCTGAGAGGTGAAGTCCACGTACGAACTACTCTAGTACCTGGTGAGCAGTCCTGTGATTCAAATGTGACCTCTTCTTCGAATATAATATATGCTGCAAGTTCAAAGTGTTTGAAAATCCGTGCATTAGCCAGGATCATAGAGTATATCGTCTTGCGACGCTACCGTTATGCATGTGACCAATACTATGTTTTTAGAGACCCTTCATTGCAATCCTGTTGCTCTCTCCTCTTTTCTGCTCTCTTCGTTTTCTTCTTTCCTTCCCTTTTCTTCCTCTTCCCCCTTATTTTTCTCCGGGGGATCTACAGTACTTTATCGTACCTACATGGGGGCAGAAGTTGTTCTGCCATGAGGAACATTGCTGTTGGGTGTTGGTGGTGAAGCGAAACGAGCTTCGCGCAATCGAAAATTTGACGGTGCGTCGGAGCTTTGTGTACGAGCCGAAGTTTCTCAAGAGCTGAAGTATCGTCTGATCAATAAATGAGCGTTCGTGTTGAACTACGATCTAAAAGTTCTGTGTTCACAAGCCGAATGGTCAACATCTAAGTGTGCGCAGAAACACTTCTCCAAATGAACTGTAGCCTACCATATATATGTTGGTACGAAAACAAGACTTCACATGTTGCTTCATGTCCCATTGTGTCATAGACATTTCGAACATTTAGGGACGGACGAAAAACGGCTTTGTAATACCTCCGAAACCGACCTTTGTCCGTCCAAATTATTGCATAGCAGCGAAAGATTGATCTGTAACCGAAATCGTACGTCAGCTGGTTCCGAACCCGATTTTTGCGTCGCGCTCACAATATTGCTAGATACCTTTCATAAATTCTCCACACAAAACAGAAATCAACATGGAAGTTGCTACTAGTAGAAGACCCATCGAGATGCCACACCAGTCACCAGGCTTCTTTAAAAGACGAACTTTCAACCAGATGAAGAAGCGATCGCACTCTGCCGACACAGATGATTCGTTCTCATCGCACACACTTGAGACTAGACTTTCAAACTCCAGCAGTTCGCATGATCGAAGTGCAACCGAGTGCCTCATCGAGTTGAGGGATTATTTCAGCAGTCCATCTTCGCCTTCCGTTTCGGATGCCGAAATCTTTCGATTTGCTTGCTACCATAACTTCCAATACAGCGAAGCACTCACGGATATACTCCAGAAGCATGACTCGCGACACATGAACCTACGCATGTCAGGCTTTCTGATGAAACAACTGCAGACCAAGACTCTCTTTCCACTTCCCGGCCTCAAGACCAAAAACAAGAAGTGTGATGTATTCTATATGCGGCCGAGTCGCTATGTACCATCACAGATGAAGACCACGATGGTAATTGACAATCTGTGCTACGTTCTGAATGATCTTAGTCAAACGAAGGATCAGTGTCAGAACGGAGTCGCGTTCATTGCCAACATGAATGATTGGACCATGAAGAACTTTTCGCATGATTATTGCTTTCAATTTATGCAAGCCTTGCAAGGGAAGATGGTCCCAACCAAGGTGGAACTCTTTCTCATTGTCAATCCACCTTCGTGGTTCGGCCGTGTCTGGAAGGTCATGAAGTCCATGCTATCCAAGTCCTTTGCGAAGAAAGTCCACATGATCAAAGAAGATCGACTTGGAGAATTTCTTATGGATGGGTACGACCAGTACGTACCAGACGAATTCAGTGCTGGTTGGAAAATAACCGAAGAGATCACTGATGACTACATCGACTTTAGGCAGTATGAAGATAGCCAGAAGGATACTGGCTTGAGGCTCATACATCCTAGAGGATAAACATAGCTATAATTGAAAACATGCATGTAACCTACCTTTGTTCTAAATACGTATCTTTCTGTACGTGCACCACCGTTCATGATACAATCGGATCATAGTCAGGAAAGAAGCTGAATCATATTGCTGAAGCTACATACATGTACTGACTGCAGTTCAGTAGTCTGGTCGTGTGTACAAAACTAATCTGCGCTATACTCTACCGGTATATGCCCGTTTTGATCGTGTATGTGATCCATATATTTTTAAAACATACCGTATTCATACACATTTTGCGAAATGTTTCAAAAAGTTGGAAAGCCCCACCGAAACGATCGTCGTCCGATTTATCTATTCGTTGTATTATAGGCTCATGATTTCTTCTGCTCAGGTATGCACGTAGCGGGATGTACTGTCCTATTTGAAGATACTGTAGGGTTGGGGTCACCACCTTTTTATTACCAAACGTATGTCATATGTCTCTAAAAATGGCCTGGAACGGCCGGGAAAATCAATATTTACTCCCAAGAATTGAGTGTTAAATTTCTATTTCCCGGCCGTTCCTGTTTCCATTGTGTGAAAAGGTCAACAATATTGAGATCGACCAGAGAAAATAGCTCCTTCATTCTAGGTCAAAATGGTTTGAAGGAAAGTCCGTGATTTTTGTGGTTGAAACCGTTTCCCATAATATGGAGAAGCTCACATAATTCGGAAAAACACATCAAATACAAAACACAAACATGCCAGGTCGAAGCATAGTGTCTACAACCAGAACAACTGCACTTCCATCTTTTTTTTCAAGGAGCCGGACTCCCTCTGGAAGGAAGGATGCGACAATCAATTTCTCTGCTCAGACAAACTCCCGCCATTCGTCCAACAACAAGTCCAGCATGAACTACGGATCACACTCACTCCTCAAGTCCCTTCAAAACATCAACATTGCATTGAAAGAAGCATCCCTGGGTAGCTCTGTTTCCAAAGCAACGGTCTATCGATATTCTTCTTTTTATTCGTTCAACGAAGACCAGGCGCTAAAAGCCATCTGCCAAGCTTACCATCAACGTTACCTTCACCTTACAATGACAGGCGATCTGTTGGCTCAATTCCAAACCAGAACACTATTTCCGCTTACAGGTCTCAAGACTAGAGACCTCAAGTGCAATGTCTTGTATATGCGGCCATGTCGCTTCGTACCAGAAGAGATGAAGACCTCGAATGTAATTGACAATCTGTGCTATGTTCTCAATGACTTATCCCAAACCAAGGAAGAATGTCTCAATGGAGTCGCTTTCATTGCCAATCTGGAAGACTGGACTATGAAGAACTACTCTCATGATTATTGCATTCAATTTATGGAAGCCTTGCAAGGGAAGATGGTCCCAACCAAGGTGGAACTGTTTCTCATTGTCAATCCTCCACGATGGTTCGGCCGTATCTGGAAGGTTATGAAACCCATGCTCTCAAAGTCCTTCTCCAAGAAGGTACACATTATCAAGGAGCAGCGGTTGGGTGACTTTTTCATGGAGGGATACGAACAATATCTGCCAATGGAGTTCGAATCTTGTGGGTGGAGACAGACTGAAGAAATTGTTGAGGACTACATTGACATGAAGCAATACGAAAATGAACAAAAGTTGACGAAGAGGAGCAAGTTTTCGAGCGACTGCATCATTTGATCCGCCTTAATCAACGACAATATTTTCCAGTGGTGTTAGCGCAAAAATTGTGCTACGAAGATTCTACTCGGAGTGTGGTGTCTCCAGAATTTGAGTTCGTATAGTGGCAGTTGATCGGCACTTTGTAGTGTCCTCCTGTCTTTGGCTTTGTTCTTTGGATTTCTACAGAGACATGTCGACCGCCAGCTTACAATAGATCCAGACACCTATTACAAGAAGTAATCTTTAGTCTTCCAATCAGGCACCACACCTGTTGCGACTACTAGTGTTACTTGTTACTTCCCTTCTCTACTGCACTACTCTTTTCCGTTTTGCTAGGAGATCACGGAAAGTGCCTCTCGTCCTATATAGTGCAGTCGCCTCGCTCTTGCTATCGTCAATCGGCATGATGAAAGAAGTCCCATTACACAGATGCCGTGCTATTGTGTAGGTGATTTTAATAAAAGTCTGACTCACGTGATTCAGTGAATACGATTTTGTAGTGCATGCCATTGTGAACAATATATCCTATTCGTTTTATGTTACATCGTGATATTTTAGAAATACGAGTAGATCAGCTCATCGCTGTTGTACCCGCCATTTTATCGCAGATAAATACGCTGGGTTGGTTATTGGAGCCATAAATATTTCAAGACCATAACCAGACCTGCGTCAGCTTCCGTTCAATGATATGATCTTCTCAAACAAATCAGGAAGAAACCCAAACTTCTCGCAAATGTGACCAGGATGTTTTGGTTTTATTTTTGAACAACAAAATTGCAACTTTCTATTTCAGCATGCCTCTCTTGAATTCAAGATCCTCGACGGCCTTGAATTTGTCATCCTCTTCTTCCCACTCCAAGAAGACTCTCAAGAACTCGAAATCCTCGACTTTCAGCTTATCCTCATCCTCCTCGTCTCACTCCAAGACGACCCTCAAGAGCTCGAAGTCCTCAACTTTCAGCGTGTCGTCCCCCAATCCAAGGACGACCCCATCAAAGAAAGTTTCCTCTTTCAACTTTGATCAAGAGCTCCATTGCTTGGCAAAGCTCAATATTGTGATAAAGGAGGACCCGGTACTATCTCAAACAGTCGACAGTGAGTTGATCTATCGGTTCGCATACTTTCACTCATTTGACTACGAAACAGCCCTGACAGCCCTCCAGCAGAACTACAACAGCCGATACCTTACTCTTTCTCTAACGGACAAGGATCTCTTTGCACAGTTCCAGAAGCATACCATATTTCCTCTTCCGGATCTCAAGACGCAAAACAAATGCAATGTATTCTATACCAGGCCTTCTCGATATACTCCAGCAAACGCAAGCAACGACGACACTCGTCTGATAATAGACAATCTGTGCTATGTTCTCAATGATTTGAGTCAAACCAAGAAAGAATGTCGCAAGGGAGTTGCCCTGATTGCCAACATGAATGACTGGACCATGAAGAACTTTTCTCAAGACTACTGCCTTCAATTTATGCAAGCTTTGCAAGGAAAGATGGTCCCTACGAAGGTGGAACTCTTTCTCATTGTCAATCCACCTTCATGGTTTGGGCGTATTTGGAAGGTAATGAAACCCATGTTATCAAAATCCTTTTCCAAAAAGACGCACATGATCAAAGAAGAGCGGCTGGGAGAATTTCTAATGGAAGGATACGAGCATTTCTTGCCGGACGAAATTACTGGAGGCTGGAAACATACGGCAGAGATTGTGGAGGACTATGTAGATCTGAAGCGCTACGAGGACGAACAAAAGCTGTTGGCGATATCATAGAAATCGTCTTGGGCTGGAGAGTGAACAAGTCAGTCAGTCACAGTCAGTCTATCATTTTGTATAAATTAGTAATGGAATAATAGTGAAGCAGCTATTAATAGAATCAATCTATTACTTTTGGATGTGAAGAACGAATGAATGGAATCTTCTTTATAGCCCGGCGATGCTGGTGTAGCTAGTCCGTGTGCTACACTGCTAGTAATACATGGTGTCCAGCTATCAGAATATATTCGAATAGTAACCCAACCTTTACAGAAGAGTTAAAGAGAGAATTATAGATGTATATAGAAAGGCACTTGAGAGTGCTTACGTGGACCTGATGACTAAGGTCTAGTTCTGTACTCAACCGAAGGAGCTTCTATAGAGTCCAAGGTCACTCCAAGGTCATTACACTCTTCCCTTCTATGATCAGAGCTGCTGTGTACGAATATGAAATCTGTCAATTCATCTACAAGTCTAGTATCAATCTGAAAGGATCATCATGTTGCAGTTAGATATCCTCGTGAAAGGAAGGCTTGTAACAAAGGTAATTTTGCATTAGAATTTCCAACCAAAGAGTTCGTGCATGCGGGATTCTTCTTGTAATCAACATTTGCAATACCAGCATCACCTACTAGCGGGGACATCCAGTCACCGGTATCATCTAGTGGTGCATCACGTGTCTTCTTTTATGTCATCTACAGTATGATATCGGCATCGACTATTGGCGGGATCGAATTTCAAATGATGTCGCGAGTGCGCGAGTGAGAGCGCGATGCTCGAACGAACGAACTAGCGATCCGAATAATCGGACTAAAACAAATCGATATTTCCGGGTTATATTACTTCATGGATCAGATTCAACAATGTCTGCACTTCAACTACCGGTACCTGGTACCGTACTCTTGTACCGGTACTGCTGTACTGTACAGCCCTACCGAATAATAAGCCAAAGAGACAAAATGAAAAAAGAGGCAATAAAAGCAAGAGTAACCAATATCACCTCCATCACTTCACTTTACTTGACACCTTGAACAAACTTCCAGTAGTAGTATCGGTTTGATCATAAACCCCCATTCGAATTCATTGCTTCATTCAATCCCACTTGGTGTGGTTGAATTTGTATCTTTTTTCCAAATGGCCCGTCGTTGAGGGCAAAAATACCATTGGAATCTCCTAAATAATGGAAACCGGTCGATTAAATGTGAAACACGTTTAAACTGTACAATGGACGTTGCAACCCGGCTACGTCAGCAATGACAAGCGGCGAACTTGTTCCTGAACCGAACTACTAGCACTTTTTGCAAATTCTGTGGAATTCCATTTGTCTTACACTTAATGAAGATGTCAAAACCTTTCACGGCGGAAGATGCATTAACGACGTGTTTGTCCAACACGTCCGATAAGAGTTCCGAACTTAACTGATCTGTCGATTGTTGATTGGTGGGAAAGCTGAGGAAGCCTCTTGCACTTGACATCTTTTCGTTCGCTTCATTGAAGGGGAAGAAAGGCAAACTTCTCTCACATCTGGTGGGAAAATAGTCTGATCATTTTCACGTAGCTCTAGTAGTGAAGCTTACCTGTTGGCGGATTCGTATCCAAACCATCTCCTGTTTTTTGTTTCTGGCTTCTTTCTCACAAAACATTTCTCACATCCCAAAAACAAAACTCTCAAACTGTTTAAGATGGGATTCAAACTTGCCAAACGATGCAGCAACTCTTCCATTTCCACATGTCCCGAGACACCCACCAGCTCTAGCGAGTTCCTGGAAATTCCAAACACACCAGGACAATCGGTGAGCGAAAAGAATTGCTTTCGGCACTTGAAAAAGTGGTGTTGGGAGAACGATGTGACAATGGAAGACTCGTTGATTATGAGGTTTGCCAACTTTTACAACTTTAACGAAGAGGCTACCAAGCTCGCTCTCGAAAGACATCAAGACAATCACTTCTTGAAATTGCAGATGCGAGGCCCAATCGTCAAACAATTTCAGAAAGGTGCTTTGTTTCCTCTTCCAGGCCTCAAGACCAAAAGGCAACGAAGTGAAGTGTGTTACTTCCGCCCCTCAAGGTTTTGCCCTAAAACCGCTGATTCTTCGGTCCTTATCGAGAATCTCTGTTATGTTCTCAATGACTTGAGCACCACAGAAGAGCAATGCCAACATGGTATTACTTTTCTGGCCAATATGAAATCCTTTTCCACCAAATTGTACGATGAACAATTCTGGTTGGAACTCTTGAATGTCTTGCAAGGCAATGTCATTCCCGTTCATATTGCCTCGTTTATTGTGTTGAATCCACCCACGTGGTTTGGCCGCATTTGGCGCCAAATGAACACACACATGAGTCCCGACTTTTTGAAGAAAGTGAGACTCGTGGAACGGGAAGACCTTCCCGATTACTTTGAACAAGGATACGAAACTTACATGCCATCGGACATGCAAGGTTGGAGAAAAACTTCGGAAATGGTGGAAGACTACATCGATCGAAGGGTGTTCATCGATAAGCAAGCGGTCAAGAAGAAGAAGCACCGGTTCAGTGAATCTCTGGAACTTCGATTGTTGGAAGTTCCACTGGAAGTATAAAATTCACATATATTATATATATATTGCTACCTACAGTCTCCGCGCACAAATACAAATGATGAAATAAATACATTAGAATACTGTACATTTACAATACAACTATCATCTTTTCTCATGGTATCACTGCACAATATCCTGCTACTGTAGTTTCCCAACTTGAAATTGTGGTTCTGGAATCTTGTTGGTTCCAGCCGGCCGGCGCCAGAACTTCACTCGAATCAATAATCGTGATTGGGTTGATCATTGATTGGGAAGTTCTGATCGGCTCGATTACCTCGAATGCACTAAGCACACGCACTTGGTTTTCAGTTTTCCCACTATATATAAATACCGGTACCTACCGTACCGGTATATCTCGATAAACCTGTTGAGATAATCCTGGAGTCTACTCCCATGGGCTACTTGAACATACTGTAGTGGGGCAAAAAGAGTGGCCAAGTATATCTCCGAGGGACGAAATTGTGATTTTGTGCTGTAGTTTCCGAAAATCATGTCCTTTGTTTTTTCTACTGTCATGATGAATCTTGTTGGTAGTTGCCTCCAGTCTTCCGCAGTGCATATAATAATTTAACTTGTTGCCAAGAAGATCAATTTGTAGCATCTTGTTGCAATAATCCTGAAATCTAGACTTGAATATAGGATCTAAAAGAATGTAATATTCGATTTTCCAACAAGGCTCTTGGAAAGTCACAATCCACCATCGAATCGTCTACTGTATTATTGATTATTGATGAATATACTGCAGGTGGTATTAGAGATTAAAACGTAGATGATTTGTTTCTGCAGTAAGCTTATGCCATCATCATCGTCGTCGTCAGAATCAAGAATAATCACCGCCACAACCATTTTGTGTAGTAGTCAAGAATCAAATTGCTTGTTGACGACATCATCTAGTATTCATCATATATTATCATTCACCTCATCGTCGCAACAAATCACAAATCACAAACCATACTCATCCCGTACATCAACCTCACATTCTCATCAACCATCCTAGCCTACACTATTAATTGACAAGCTGTCTACTTGTGTACGGAGTCCTACCTAGCTACAGTACCAGGTACTACTCCAAATTCTTGATGCACCACAAGGCAGCCTTCTTTCGTTCGCGCAATTGTACCAATTTAATGGTAGCATCTCCTTCCACCATTAAATAATTCCCGGAACCCCATCCGGCGGCCGCATTCATCAATGGAGTATTCGACATGTCATTTTCCAAACTCCAGGCTTCTCTTTTTGCCGAATTGTCACTTCCACAAAATTGATTGGCCACACACATGGCATTGCCAAACATGTTGATTCCCACCCAAGTCTCATTGGCAGCAAATTGCAATCCAATGACTTGTTCCATTTCTTCTCCATCTTGGGACAATCGATCTTGTCTCCAAAGTTTAAAAGTGCATCTTGCCTGATTCCATTTGGGCAGGAGTACCAATTTTCCATTGTTCGACACGGACAAGAATTTGCCACTGGGATTGAGTTGGACCGAGACATTGGAATCAAATACAGGTTTGGCAATGGGTACTTTTTCCTTTTTCTTTTTGCTGTTTTTGATATTGTTACTGATATTCTTGTTCGTCGCAATGGTAGTACCAATAGAAGAAGTTGCTACTGCAGTGGTTGCCTTGTTCATAAGATTGGATATAAAGGGAGCCTGTTTCTTGGGGGTTGGTTTCCAAGAGAGTGTCTTTTCGTCCCAGGATTCGGCTAGGACATCGCAAATAATCTTTTTCTTTTCGGGAGTATTGTAGGGCGGAAGAAAGTTTGGCGCAAAAAAGTGGCTGATATTCTGTCGATCGGTAAACAACCAAACCCCGCTGTGGTTGCCAGCAGGAGGAGCAACAGCAGCAGTGGTGGTGGTGGTAGTAGTAGTATCGCCTTCTTCTTTTTCTTCGCCTTCTTTCTCTTCTTCTTCTTTGGCAGGCACTTCCTCCTCCTTCTTTACTGCCTCCTCCTCCTCTTTTTCAATTACAACTTCACCAGTCAGTGTTCGTGGGACCGTATTCAATGGCTTGGGACCTTCAATCCTCCATTCTTGCAAGACTTGTTCACATTCTTCAAAGTATGCCTTTTCATGTTTGGGAGACCGAAACTCTGCCTTGCGTAGAATGGTAGAATGAAAGGGACCGGGACAAAATCGACTGGGAAATTCCATTGCCTTGAAGAGTTGATTGTGCAAGAACCGGAGCTGCCAATTGATCGGCAATCCTTCGTCGTCAATCGTCTTTGGTGTAGGTGCATAGGGTGGTTCCATGTCGAATCGAACTTCCAATTCGGGTGGCTGGTCGGGATTGGCCATGACGGCCGTGGGCAAGACTTCAATTTGAGGAATGAGAATGGTTCCGTTGGTCATGACATCCAAGACATCTTGCAAGGCAATCCCACCCCATTTGGGTTCATAGGTTCCCAAACGAATGATTTCCACATGCCCCGAGTCTTTGGCTTTTAGTTTGTACGATGTCGGTGGCCCTGGTTCTCCTCCACCTACCAACCAACCATCGTCATTGGTAGCGCCAATGTTCTTGTAGTCTCGGTCCTGAACCAAATTGAAATCAAAGGATTCTTGATGGGTCTCCGACTCTGGATGTCCTTTGTCAGACTTGCGGGTCAAGGAAAGACCAATAAAGGCCAAGCCGTCGACTTTGGAGTTCTTGGGGTCCAGAACGGGTGGCATATTATTGCTGATATTATGAGTGTTTGTTGTGAGAGTATATATACAGAGGAAGAATTTTTTACACGGCCTGAAAGATTTTCAAAAACAAATATCCACGATATGATACCGCGGTACGGTATGTCAAAAACGTTACTGTATTTCAAATGGGTCATTTTTGAAGCGATCGCGGACAACTTACAGACGTCAACTTGAAACGACCTCTCAAAGAGGCGTTGGAACCGTTAACTCCCCTAAGTACACTGCGTTTTGCTGCACCCTGATTGGATGAATCTCGGTACTCCTTTGTTTGTTACCTAGCGAAGGATCTCGAAAGAAATAGTTAGGGAATTCGAGAGATCTCGATTTATTTTGATAAAGAAACTCCAAATCGATGGCAAATTCCAGGGAGGGGGAGTCTTTTTTTGTTGGCGGATTGGATGGCGGCATCGCACCAAAGTTCGGAATGGAAGAAAAGGACGAAGATAGAAACTGTGGGGTATGTCTGTGGGGTATGTACCGGTAGATACATACCGCACCCAATCCAAAATGCACTATTGTCTCCCCATCTGAAGAGAGACGAGTGAATGATGCAATGAATGTTAAAAGCTTTCGCAATATATACTGCTGTTTTGAGTCACTGCTCTACTCAAAGTAGTCATATAAAGGTCATAGAAAAGTCTTTTTGCAAGTTTTCGCCCAGCGGGAAACACAAAAAGGCGCAATCGGAAGGAAGCTGCGTCACTTACTCATCACTACCGGTAGAACCTATTACAAGAAAAGAAACGCTGCGGTACTTACCAGTCTAGTCTTGAATTATATATACTTTGTTTGGATTACAGATTGCACCAGAGGAGGCACAAAAGAGAGAGAGAGAGAGAGAGAGAGAAATCATCGTAACATACACACACACAATATATATTCATACATACCAACTTCGCCGCGCAAAACAAAAAACAAATCACAGAATGTCCGAAACCAATGCTAATACTGCAGCAACTACCACTACACAACCAGCCGCACTAGTATGGGCACGGAATCCAGAAGAAGAAGCTGCTGCAGCGGCAGCCGTAATAAAAGCAGCCGAAGAACAGAAACAACGAGAGGAGGAAGAAGCAAAGGATGAAGGCAATACCTTTGTCAATCATGGTGAGTATTTTGTTTGTTTCTCTCTCTGTGTGTGTGTGTGTGTGTGTGTGTGTCTCGCTAGGAGATGATGTTCCTATTCTTTCGCGAGGATGATACGTTATTTGAAACGAATAATATGCATGGAATCGATCTTTGCAGCACCCAATCACACTCTCCCTTTGTCTAACATTATTCTTCGTTTCAATTGAATTCGATTCGATTCGATTCAATTCAATTTAATTCGATCATTATCAGGATTCATGAGATGGCAAAAAGGTCGAGAGGACTGGCATGCCGAGAAACTCAAAAGGATTCAAGAACAGCAAGAACGCAAAGGTGGTAGTGGTGGTGATGGCAATAGTAATAATAACACCATGCCTGACCATTTGCGACAATCCATCCCACTCGATGTGGATGAAATCATTGATATCATCTTTTCGCCTCGTTGGAGAATGGCGGGAGCGGAAACGGGGCCACCCAAACGATTTCCACAAAATGTACCTCTGGTGCAAATGGTCGATGTCCTAGTGGATTTGTGGGAGGCGGAGGGATTGGATCTGTGATTATATATCATTTTAATTATAATTACAAATATATAGGTACTGTGCTGGTAGCTTGGGATCAGCAGTGATTAATATCGGGTAGTCTAATTGTTGTATATAATACGTCACTCTATATTGTGATATTACACTGCTAGCATGGCTTATTATTTTTATTTATCAATAGTGCATACATGTAGTTCAAAATCAAATTCAATCAAATTCAATCAAATTCAATCAAATTCAATCAATCAATCAATCAATCAAACAATTAATCAATCAGCGGCATCATTCATGGGGCGAGGTTTTGATTGTTTCTACGAATCAATCGAATAATTCGTTCTCCTCGTCGAAGATTGGGTTTGGTCCTTGTGGCTGCTGCGGTTGCACCAGCTGCTGTTCTTTGAGTGGCAGTGGCAGCGGTAGCAGTCGTAGACGCTCTTCGTCGTTGCAAGAAGCCAACTTGAAGGTTGTTGAACGAAGGAAAGGTATTTCCATTTCCTCCGCCATCGCCACTATCATCTTCACGTCGTTGACGCTGCCGTTGTCGTCGTTGTTGACGTTCTTCTTGTTTCAGTTTCTTTCGCTCCAATGCGGCCAACTCGTCTAGTTCCACTTGCAATTCATGTTCCAACAATTTGCGTTCCTTGCGATACGAACCATCGCAAGCCCATTTTTCATAATCTTGTTGCAAGCCTTCCAAAAAGGCTTCCAACAACAATCCAAGAACATATTTCATGACCATGTTGCCAATCTTACTCAATAGTCGTTTGGGAATCATCTTAATGCGTTTGACATTTGGTGGATACACATCAATGGCCATGTCGGTCTTGATGCGAATGACATCTTGTGTATTGTTGTTGGGATCCAACGTGACCAGGCAAGAAGAAGAGTCCAATGATGATGATGATGATATCGGTGAAGATGATGTAGAGGAGGCACCGATCCTACTTGATGATGACGATGAATTCGACCTCGACCTCCTGGGATGAGTCTTCTTCTTCAAAGAGCCACCAATATCATAATCATCATACGGCTCTTCGTCATCAATAGCTTGTTCTTCTTCTTCATCATCATCGCTTAAAAAGTGCAGAATGCCTTGCCGTTGCTTTTCCCACGTCAATGTTGCAGAAACATCCAAATCGTATCGATCGTTCAGTTTCCATTCTTCCACTGCGGGGGATCCTTCAATGGAACACGAGATGGATTGAATGATTACCTTGTCGGATTCCACAGTAACCTTGGCCCGTACTTTGGGGATTATCTCAATGTCTCCTCCATCTTTTGTCGAAATGGGAAACCGAATGGGAGGAACTTGCAAGGTAAACTCGTCAACAGAGCCGTGGACCCGTTCCAAAGAACCATTAATTGGCAAGGGTACACAGGCATATTGAGCCGCAGGAAGTTGCATATACTCTTGGAGTAACCACGTTGGTTCTTTTCGTTGTTGTTTGTTATTCAAGTCTTCTTTTGGAATCAAAGTCTTGACTTTCTGAACGGCTTGTCTGTGTATTCTCAGTTTGACAGGTCGTTCCCTGTGATTGTTGTTGTTCTTGTTGTTGTTCATGTTGTTGTTGCCCATGAAAGCTTCAGCTACCATCAAAATCGCAATGAGCAGCACCATGATCATCTGCATGTTTGAGGCGAAAGATGGCATTGTCATTATACTGTGGGCGTACAAGTATGGAATGGAGTATATGAAAAACTTAGATGTTTCTGAGAAGTCTGATTTTTCAAGGAGAAACACAAAAGGTATTCAACGTCTATGAAGGATCAGAAGATATGGATGGTTATGGAGGAACAAATGAGCTGATGAACGTTATCCTTGCTTCACAGTTTGGAACAGTACAGGAACGCCTTGCTTTTCTTGTGTAGCTGCGTTGGAATTTCCTTTTTATCTAATCTTTCCTTCTTGTCTTCTCACTATATTTTTTTCTGATTTTCTGATGGATTTGTCGCGTTTCGTGGGAGTCGGAACCCTCGTTGGAGTCCTACTAAGAATCCCGTAGAAGCGTGACGTCATGAATTGAGGCTTCGAACTAGCGAGTGACACCACCAACTGTCACCCTGTATTTTCGACCTCGTGATGACAGGTCCCCTGATCCACTGACACCTTCTCTGTTTTAGATGATGAAGGATTTGCCAATCTTTGCCATCATCGATCATCATCGTCGATCATCATCATCGATCCAATAATACCATCACTACAGTTGACGGGAAATGAAACGAGCATCAGCATATCAGCACTTTTGACTTATCATAATGATATTTAGAAAATTTTCAAGAGCTGTGAAAATAGGAGGATCTAAAAGTAACGTCTGAAAATGGTATCTTTCATTTCAGGATAGATCTTGATCATTCCGGTACGTATTGGTTGAGATTCAAAAGAGTATTCGCTCGACTTCAGCGCATAGATAGAAGGGTACCGCGTCGGCGTGAGTCTTCACAACATCCATCAGTTCCTCGTCGTCAATCTTGGAACTACGGTCGTCATTGCAACTGACTGAAATTGTCTGTTCCCGCCTACGACATTGTATATGTTTACAATTTTATAATAACACGCTCGTACATTTTAAAATACAATTAGCTTATGTCATCATTCCGACCCCAACAAACAGCTTGACAATAGCCTGAGGAATTCATCGACTAGATAGTACAGTCGCGACTCTATGTATCGTGTCAATGTGCCTGTCTCTTTCATCTCATCTTTCTTCATCGACCGGCGGTTGGAGTTCACGCAGCACAACCATATGCAACAACGTCACTTCCAAACCGTCCAAAGAAAAATCAATCAATCGAAAGGGACAATCGTCACGGGTACACAGAATCTCATCCCAGCTTGCCCAAACCATGCATGTCTCCAACCAGAATGACACATAGCCACAATTGTAATGTACTTCTCTCCGTTCTCCTATTACCTACTAGTCGTGTTTTCAAAACTTCACACCACCAGTAGGTAGAATTGCCACACACAATAAGCACCACATCATATTTTCTTTCACAGTTTTTATAACAAATAAATGTTCTTCAAGATCTGCCATTTTCATAGTCGTCAGATCTCTCTATTAGTCTCTTATTCAGCACGATCCATAGCTTCCTTAATAGGCATGCAGCATCCAACCTTGGGGTAGAGAGTCAATCCAGCAACGGAAACAAGAGCTGGGACTTCCTCGTCACAGGGAAAGGCAGCGGTAATGGCAAAGCAACAGGCATGAAGCTGGGCCTTGCAGCAAGCCATACCGTCGCATTCCACGTCAGGTCCACAGCAAATGCAGGGAAGACACTCGGCACCTATGTGTTTCATGTAGAGAAGCAATTAAATGAGCGTGAGTTATTGGATGAGAACAGTTAGAGAATTAGAAAATCTTCAAATCAATCACTGCAATCACTCATAGATCCAATCCAATCCCATTACAGCAGATAGTTCAGTCCAATTACACCCCTCCCTCAAACTTATATCAGCGCTTACCTGGTTGACAGCAAACCTCGCAGTTCAAGCAGCAAAGTCCAACTTTACCGGTGCATCCACAGCAGTCCCCTCCTGTGTAGACACCCATATGAAAGCAGCATCCGGCGCAACAAAGGATGATCTTTTCCTCATCAATAGCATCTCCGTCTCCAACGCAGCACATGTTTTATATCTGTTTTGATTAGTTAGTTGTAGGTAGATAGTTGTAGATAGTTGCGATTAGGCAAGAATGAAACAATGAAATAGATTGGAGGAAAAAGATGCGAAACAAGATCCAGCTGTTGATATCATATGTTTGATGTCTTGCTGGTACACTTATACAGCATCTTTCAGTACTCGGTTTACGTTGGAATGTCTGCAGACTGTCGCACTGTCGCCAATCCGCTCACAAAATCTTCTCACTAATTGCAGGAAAGCAGGATTCATTCTAAAAATATGAATGCAATCACACATGCATTTATCTAATACACACTGATACTATATTATCGAATTTCAAAATAAAGCGTGATCTTCCGGGTAGAAATTCATCTTGCTCAAATCGCACGCGTGTAAGTCTCCGGAATAGAATTGGATCCAAAACTTGGTAGGATGCAGTTCCATCATGTTGTCTTCTTTGTCGTCGTCTTCAGCAACCGTTAGTACCTTGCCAAGCCAATACGACTTGTGTACATCCCAATAGACATATATGCGATCTCCCTCCTTGACTGATTCTACCTTGCCTTGGTCGTTTCGTGTCGTTACCAAATAGTCTGGTAGGTCGTCATCCAATGCCAAAACTTGATGTTCGTTGGTATCATAGGTCACCTCGATTTCCGTTTTATCCCTGCTATCTATAGTCGCAGAGTAAAAGGAATTGTCCGAAAAGCCATACCATAGCAGCAGGCGATTACCAACTTGCACTCCTCCCCGGTCCAAAATGTTGTTGTTGTTGTTGTTGTTGTTGCTGTTGAATGATTCTTGGGGAATAACACTAGTAGGCTCATGAGTTCCATGCGACAATAACAGTGTATGCCTTCGCAATGGACTGATCCATTCAAAATTCTCCGGTAGGTCGTATTGGACATGGCAAACGTCACCTTTCGTCTCGGTAATCATGCCACTCCAATAGTTTTGATATTCCCACGACCAGACTGCGACTCGTGCGCCGACCTGCAGTTTGCTAGCATCGGGGGAGTGGACCGTCTTGATCAAGGCATACTTGACAAGACTCACAACGGATACCTCCTCCTCGCCACCCCATTTATCAAGACTCAAAACTCTCACTAGTTCCTTGACTTCGCTGCCAGGAGCATCGATAAGGAAAGAGTTCTTTTCGGTTTGAAAGAAGACACACAAATACAACAGCAGCCGCATTACGCAGGGATGGTGGATTCCCAATCGGTTCAGATTCACTTCGAATACTGGAACAATCTCATTCAGGGCGTCCATGGTGGCCCAGACTTCCTTGACCTTGATGAATCTCGAGATTAGCGTTTCAAACACCATTGGGTGATTGTATCCCAAGACACGCTGTTGTTCTTGGACGAGTTCGGCAACATAGTCACGGCCTTCTTTTCCAACCATGACATCCGCCTTGACGTACTTGGCATACAACGTGATGGGATGCCTTTCATCAAACTGGGAAATTGCCATTGCCAAACCCATTTGAATTCCATAGTGAATGGATTCAAAGTTCATTTCGGGAAACAAGATATTTGGAAGCTCTACCCGTTTCTCAACATCGTCGTGGTATCGTTGTGCATAATAGATGGACCAGTCATAGCTGCAGAGAGCTTGGGACAAGCCAATCAGCAATCGACAATAGATGGAAGCGATGACTCTTGAGGAAAAAGTGGTGTCATCCTTCATAATCCCATCCATCGTTTGGGTTAGGATGCGAATGGCTTGATCAAAGTAGTAAACTGCTTTGGATGCCAGAGCTGCCTTTTGCAGAGACTGGTCATCGTCGCTCAGCATTTGGGCTTGTCTTAACTTGAGGTTGCCCAATCGCAGCAAGATTTCCGCCGTTTTCTCTTTTTGGTCCATGGCAGCAGTAGTGTTCAAGGCTTCCACTCCAACGTCCACAATTTCTGGGAGGAGGTTCATATCCATGATTTGCGAAGCGTCGGTAATGGGTTGAAACGGATATTGCTGAGCGAATTGATAGTGCTTCAGCCCTTGATCTTGCATCAATTCGTGGTATGACTTTAGATGAAACTCGATTTGAATCATGTAACCAGTCCTGAGGCATCTCGCAGTTACCTTGATGTCCCGGTATCCATAGGTGAGATACGCTTCTGACTTTTCAAAGCCATTTTGGACATGATTGACTTGCCAGTCTTTTGCCAAGTCACCGTGACGCAACCAATCCAACATGTTTCTGATTTGTGCCAAATCCTCTACCACAATACTCGTGCCACAACGAAACAGGTCAATGACACGGCGAATATCATTCTGAAAGTCGTCGTTTGTCGACCGTTCCGTTACTTGGCCTTGCATCATCGTCATGGGCCCTTTGTTTACTTGAACGCCAAATCCTTCTTGGATTGTTCGAATCAACGAATCGAAATGGGGTTCTGTTTGTTGTGACATGTTTGCCAACAAATTGTATTGATCGTGCAGGCTGAGACTATTCCATATTTCTTCAGTCATGGTAACATTATGCCTCGGTGGCAATGTATCACCTGTAGATGAGGCCCCCATTGCAAACATGCTCCCGCTGTTCTTCAGTTGGTCATAGAGGGTATCGAATTTCTCCATGAATTGCAGCAATTGTGTCACATCTTCAAACTTGGCCCATTCCGCTCTTGCTTTTTCCTTCTTGACTTCGTCATCAGAAGTGGTCATGGATCTCATGATTGATTGGACTTTGTGGCTTTGTTAGAAGGAATCTATGACATGAAGCACGCTATATACTGTGTGTTGCAGAAGAATATGATTTGAGATCGCATCCTGCGATGTGAAATTCTGATGCGACGCGAGACTTTTTTTTATTTGCGGTCGAAGAAGTCAAACGAATCAATTCACTGTGTAGATCTTTTATAGAGTGAAGGTCTAACTCTTTGGGATAACGGAGCAGAATACCGTATCCAACAATTCTGTTGAAGCTATAGGAACATTATTATTATTTATATCGTATTTCGATAGTAGGAGATTGGTATATTGCAGACTATTATCACGAGGTAGTGATCCATCCATATCGTCGTTACTCAATCCTCCCGCTTTTTATAGACACTTCTGAAGTTGACAATAGATGGCGTTGGTGCTCCGAGGAGATTCATCGTTTATCTCTAGCCCGCTATCATTTCCTCCCTTAGCGAGATAATGCCACCTGTTCTGTTACCACCACTGAATTTGACAGTCATCGGGCAGTATTCGGTTGGTCGGTATCATCATGGAGGTACCATGAATTTCATTGGGAGAACCCATCATGTCTTGTAACTTTGGAGCTTTCTGATAACCTCGCCCCAAGTACCAATCATTTAGCTTGCCCGATCCGTTATCATCTACCACCAACATTTGAAAATCGCAGGCTTGAATCGACTGAATGAGGGAAATGACTTGAAGAGCCAACGTCCCGACGTCTCTCTGTTTGTTTCAAATGAGGAGATACGATTATATTACATTCATTCATGATGAGAACATGTGGAATGGCGGGAAAGTGACAACTCAGCGTACTCATATTCCAGCATATTACCGTGCATATATGTACTCACCTTTCGGTATTCTTCCTCGACAAACATGTAAATGATGGCTCCTACCCGGTAGGGCCGATTCGCATCCAAACCATACAAATCATGAACCGTCTCTTGAATCGGCTCGTTCGAAGGTCCCGCCATGGTGGTAAATCCAAATCGTCCAATCTTTATTTTGCGCCGCCTCCAAGGAAATAATATTGACTTTTTATCGTTGCACACATAATGTGCTTCCAACAGTGCTTGACCTCCCTTTGGGCACAAGACGAGAGGTAGCTCCTGTTTTTTGATCAAGCAATCCAGACGAATCAAGTTGGCTGCAACCTTGAGCCATATTCGTTTCCAAATGGGGACATCTCGAGAAGGCTTTAGCTTCCACAAAATGTCGGCATGCGTCAATAGTTGACGATTATTTGGAGGAGACGAGGCGTTCTTTTCGTCGTTGATCTCCTCCTCATCATTGGAAGGAGACTGAGACTGAAGCTCGGTTTGCTGACGTTTTTGTGCATTCCGTTGCCGTATTCCGGTAGAGGTATCTTTCGCAGTAAAAGACTTCTTGACAGGTTCAAGACTCGGTTGATAACTTCTGTGACGATGTCGTGTGCTTGGCGAATGAACCTCAGGTGGAACGAAGGCATCCAGATAGACCAGTGATAAGATCAGAAGCAGGAAGATCAAGCCAAACCCCTTCATTACGACCAAAAGGAGCGATTGAAAAAGATCAGATGAAATTGTTGTCTGTGGTAATGCAAGCAACGTGGAATATAGTGATGTATGGCAAGTGTAATGTCGTTGTTGCTGTTTTTGTTTTGCGGTGTCATGATGACATGATGTATATAACATCACATATGCGTGCATTTGGTCAAACGAGTCGACACTGACGTCATTCAATCATTAATTGCATTATCGCATCAGGTTTGATGAGAGTTTCGGAGTATACCGTCTTGTCCTATGTGAGAGAAGCACTGAGTCTAATATCTACCGTATAGCATAACTATGTGGAACACTTCGGGCGAAACGAGAAAGCTTTGGAAGGGGATCCGTCTCTAAAAACTGTGAGACGACAATAAGACGATGATGCGACGCTGTCGAGGACCGCACATTCAGTTTTGCCTATTGAACCCATTATCACTGATTTTTTCAGAGTTTCCAAAACACATCTCCAATCTTATCCCTTTTCGGACTTTCAAGTTACACCCTCCCATTTTCTATGATGTGGACCCCGCCGATTGATTGGTTCTTTTTTTTCTTTCATTCATTCTTTCTTTCTTCATTCATCATCATAATCAGCAGAGAGCGACACAATCATCATCATGCAAACACTAAATCCTCATTTAATTGAATATTTGTTTAATCGTCTTGAGTGTATTTTGAAATGTCAGTAATGATATCCATGTAATCGGTCTTTCCGTAGATTCTCTTGACTGGGGTTCCATCCTTGAAAAGGATCATGGACGGTGATTTCGAATCGGCATCCCATAGCTTGGCCAATTCAGGGTAATCTTGTTGCTTGATGCTGACCATGGTAGCTCGCTCCTTCAACAAAGCCTTAGTGGTCAAAAGGTCCGACTAAAAATTCCATATCATGCAGTTGGTTTGAAAAAGAGCACGATTGAATTCAAAAAATGTTAGACAGGCAAAACATCATGTAATATCATGCAGTCCAATTCACCACACGCGGTATTCACGAGGCCAGAAAAACCGGTACCTATCATCATGTGATCGTTTTCACTTTCACATACCTTGATGGCTTCTTCAGTGGTGGCATCGTAAAAGTTGATCAAAACTGGCTTTTCTTCAGGGAACAGAGCCAAGATTTCGTCCATTGTTTTGTACTTGGCATTCAAGGCCGAAGACGCCGCTCGGAACGAGGTTGGTTGAGGAGCAAAGGCCTCAGCAGTGGAAGCCAAGACGGCGATAGTAGATAGAATGGAAAGCTTCATCTTGATTAACTGCGTGTGTGTGTGTGTTTGTGTGTGTGGAAGAAAGTCTTGGTTGAGGACGGATGATGTCAGGTTTCTGTATTTGAATTTTTGGTTGTCGTGATAGCTCCGATCCGATCGAAGCTCGTCGATCTTGCCATGTTGTTGACGACGGATGGACAGACTTTGATCCACGTGGCAGTACAATACCTACCGGTACGTGTATAACTCATAAAACGGGAGCGATCCGATATTGATTCCTTCATCATTCAATCCCCCAAATTCAAAATGCAACCTCGTCTTCTTCACTATTTCAATATTACTTCGGTGCTGGCCTCACCACTGGACTACTATATGCGGCTATTTAAAATCAATTTTTTAAATCCAAAACTATTGTTTCAGTTGATTGCGATTATACGCATACGCAGCATCAGATTCTTAGCAGCAGAACCTATCCATGTATGCATGGCATTTTCGTCCTCGCTTGCTCAAGGCGACAGAACAAGAAGTGGAACCGCTCTGGAAATAAAGCGAGCCTTCCTGTCGTTTATGTTCATTCTTGACTCCAATCTAGGTGCAGCAGCGACTTCCTGGGACTTGTGCAATGGAATGCCCCGAGTGGCAACTCTTTGGACGCAGGCATAGTATCCGGATTCTTCAAATTGACGAAAGTTCTTGCCTACCAAGGTGATGGTTATAACATTCCCAATAACCCCACTCGGAAGCTCATGATATTGCCAAGCATTGTTTCGAGGAGGCGGAGTATCTAACAGCGGGGACTCGTATGCTGGAGTCTGCCGAGCCAAATATTTAAATGCTTCGGCTGTCCTCTGTTCCACGGTTAAGCTTTTTGATGCCGTCATTGGCAACATATCATAAGATGATATCCATACTGTAGATGGACAGGTTGTATGTGTCTGATAGATTGGCTCGGGGGGTGCCTCTTCCCCGTCGGCTGCCTCGTCTGCCACCAAAGAAACGGTTGGAGAAAGAGGTGGAAGATTGTAGACACGGACTATCCACTTCTTCCACGAATAAGTTTGCATCGTCCAATCCGCATAGGGCTTGATTGCGACTTCTGTGACCAAGGTTAGTGGATATCTCGTCGAAAAGGCCAAAGTTTCTGGCAGATCTGGATCACTGCGAGCCACACTACTCCACCACGGCTGCCGAAACGAAAAGACGGATGCCTGTCGTCCTTCCATCACGGTAATATCCGAGATGCGGTCACTGTTTCGGATACGATCCCAGTCTGGTGGTCTTTGCCGCAATGAATTCTCTTCCAAAATATTTTCAATGCACTCGTGAGGATGATCGGTACTCGATGCCAAGCTCACCACTCGTTGCAAACCATCTAAGCGATGGTGAAACAACATACTGGCGTCCGTGCGGCGATAGAGAACTGGCCCATGTTCTAAAAATGACGGAGGATCCACATCAGAAGATTTTGGATCTTCAGAGGTAGCAGAACCTTCGCCCCCAGTTCCATCAGCTGTATTCTTAGCAACATTTAGGTGTTGAACCTTGTGTTCCAAGAACCAACAACATCTTTGTAGCTGATGTTGACCTAGACCTTCGGGTAGCTCATAGGATCGTTCACCACCCGAAGCTTTATTGGAATAGCGCTGCTGATAGACCATTTCCTTCAATTTTCGTTGCCAAAACTGATCTCGTTTTGCCAAGTTGCGAAAACGATTCGAAACTCCTGAAACCGACTTTACGAGTTCTGAAGTCAGTAGCCAGCCAAGAATCTCCTCCATTATATCATCGGGAATCATAGTATTGATATCTAACGGCCCATGTGGAATCGACATGCTAAAAATTGGAGTGAAATAGGAGGGCAAAAGGTGAGACACGTACAAAACCTCAATCGACGGAGATTGCAGCTTCTACGACAATAAAGGCAAACCTGACTTACGTGATGAGCTGCTATATATCTGGAGCTCTTTGGTGTTCTGGGCTCTGCAAATAGACTAAGCAGCAAGACTTATCCACCTGAACAACACACGTCTCGATAGTGATGATATTACTAGCGGTTTGCTTCGTTCTGTATTTTTCGATTTCTTCACGTGTCGTGTTCTTTGACCTTTGACACTATTTCTGTCCAGGGGATTACTTCGACTAAGATGACCAGCCGAACGCCGGCCGAGCTAACTCAAACAACGGAAAACGGTCAAAATACTGAGCGAAAACACAACGAAAACTTGGACCGTTGGGATAAGGGGCCAAGCCAGTAGTATACAGTCTCTCTTTGCTTCTGTATCGAAGATGGCTCAGGAATCTAGTCGGAATGGGAAAAGTACCTTCATCGTAGCCTTTCTTGCCTTCATATTTGGAATGAGTTTCGGGTCCATGCGGAATGTCAACAAATCATTTTTCGACGTTCCAATGATGGAGGGGTATTTTCCAACAACAGTATCCTCAGTGACGGAAGTCAATGATGACGATATCTCATTCAATCAAACAATGACAGACGATGATATGGTTAATATTCTGTACACTCTATCTGGAAATGATCCTGGCTTCCTTTCCGAATTCAGCACTTCACTCAAGTCGGTTCTCATGAATAGCCCACTCGATAAGGACCTGACAATACACTTAGTCTCCGATGAGAAGGCCCACGCTGGGATTCAAAATATTCTATATGGAGAAGAAAGTGGTTTGAACGAGATAATATCACGTAATCAAATCAACATTCGGACGTACAATGTTCAGAAGTATATTAAACTTTGGCAAGTTCTGATTCGCACCAAAACAAACAGTACGGTCAATCAAGTACATACCATGGGAACCTACTTTCGATTATTCGCCCACGAAATATTGCCAAAAGACGTCGAACACATAATATACATGGACACCGACATTGCCATCATGTCCAACCTGGAACAAGTGTGGAGGCTACGTGACGATACTGTTCTATTCCAATGGGGCCGTTTGCGTTGTGCTGGCTTCTTGCTGATCAATCTTCCAAAGTTTGGGGCAAGGTTTTGGGATCTAGTCACACGCATCGAAAAAGAGCACAGCTTACAAAAAGTGTCGAAAACCAAGACAACAAACGATCAATTGCTGCTTCAGGCCGTCCAGAAGATCTATCCCGATCAAATTGGAAGGTTGCCACCCGATTGGGATATTCATGTTGGAAGTGGTGTATACGCATGGAAAACACGAGACAAAGTTCTAAGAGAAAGACCGAGAGCAGGATTTATACACCTGAATGGTGGAAGCCATTCCAAGGCATCGGCTTTTGACGAAAATATTCTCGTGACGGGCGCGAAATTCAATCGCACTTGGTTGGTGGCACAATATTATGCAACCTATCCATGGCAATGGGCGAAGTTCAATCTAGAGAGTCAAGCAATAGATGGCAAAGGGGTGCCAATTGACATTGAATACTCACCAATATGACTATGATTTACAATAGCAGGTGGGATAAATGTACAATAAAACATACTAGAGTCTTGTATTGATACGCAATGGTTGGAGAAAAATGTACATATTTTAAGCAGGTAGCTTGCTGGTATCAAAATTGATTTTTTCAGACGGATTGCTGTCCTCCGAGCCAGGACACTCGAGGGGGTATCTTCAATCCACAATACCTTTGTCAAAAGAATTTCGTCTCACGGGAGGACGAGGTGGACATGCTGGTAGCCTCGTTGTTGTGACTGCACCAGAGGACGACTTGTTGGAAGGCATCCATCGATTCTCGCTGCATCGACTGCGACGATGACCCGACGCTCCAGTCCGTGCGCTTGGTCTTGTGTCTCTTTGAATATCGGGCCAGGATACCCGTTTTGTAGTTCGTGACGTCTTTTTGGCATCTGCAGCCGTAGGCATTGTTGAACGATGACCACTTTCAAATCTTGTACTTACATGCGAAAATCTTGCATTTTCAACAATTACATTCCTCTGCGAAAACTTGTTCATACTGCTTTCGTTGTTTGGACCTAGGGAGTCGCTTAGGAAAGCATCTATAGGTAAAGTCATTACTCTTCCTTCAAAAGTGAGAGTTTCAGCTTGGAGGTAATTTTTATATAATTTTTATGAGAACAAAAGAAATCTAACTCGAAGAATAGTTGACACTTCTCGACGTTGTCGAACAAGCCCAAAGGAATTTCCAATAAGTACTTTGATCGTACGCCACGTCAAGATTTAGGATGGGAGTAATTTGCACGAACAACCAAGGAACAAATTGGCCCCACCAAAATACGCCAAAATATTACAATGTAAAAAATAGCTAGAAGGCTAAACTTCGAGGCACTCGCAAACGCGAGTATTGGAACGAATATCCAATCCCAACAAACCGCAACGTTAACAATGTGCTTTGGCAATCCGAATCGTTTGGAAGCACAAGACTTGGCGTTCTCGTTGGGACAGATCACAATTGACATCCGCTGATGATAGCTGATGAAAGGTTTTTTTTCAAACGAAGGAATCATCATCATCATGGAAACTGTCGAACTGTCAGAAGCTGGTCAGAACAAGAGGAGCTATAATCTTTTGAAATGGCAGAGTGAAGAGAACCCAATACTATGCGAGTACCAGCACTACCCCAAACCGAAGAGAACCCAAAACTCAACGAGCAACAGCAGCCCCAAACCGAATCGACTGAGAGAGAAAACCAGAAAACTTGGACTACTGTACAGTGTATTTCACCTGCGGTGCGGCTTTCACCACCTCCTCGTTCGGCGTATTATTCAATAAAAACCTAATTATCAATCAGTCACATGTATCAAACCTAGTACACAGAAATTCGATGCTTGAATCATCTGCTGGTTGAATGACTGACTCACTCATTCATTGTCTCGGAGAGATTGATCCATTCGTCTATAGTGCGATGAAGCTGGAAGCCACATATGATTATTCCAGTTGAATAAGTGGAATAATGAATGAATTACCAATCAATCATCCCAAAAATCATGTTCTCTATACATCCAGCTGCTTGGAGGACTCGAATCTCTGCAACAGAGCAGACACTCTCTTGCCTCCCTTCCTTGGACCATTCGCTGGTGACCCAAACGGCGTTGACTTGTCGCCCTCGTGACTATGCATGGAAGAACTCGACGAAATCACTGGCATGGACGCCCTTTTGATGGGAGCAGCAGATGTGCCACCAGCCACCATTACAGATACAGGAGATGTCATCATTGCTGACGAGATATCGCCCTTGATGACATAACTTCTACGCTTGACTATGGGAGAGCCCAAGAAATCCGTTGGTCTTGCTTGCATTTCATCATTGGGGTCTGGAGCACCCCATTTGTGCCCAAACGACTTTTTCTTGGAAGAGACTATTGGAGACGACAAGGGAAGGATATCCGGAGGTCTCACCCCAGATTCCTCGCTGGTTCCATGGAAGTCACTTATCGAGAAAGCCTTTGCTCTCAGCATGTCCTTGTACTTTTGAACACTAGGATCTGAGCTGTCTGTTGGCATACTGAGACGGGCTGAGGAAGCGCTGGATTTTTGATAAGCACCATTGCTCATGACAGCCCTTCGACCACCACCAATTGCCGGAGAAGCTGAAAATGGGGGATCCAAAACGTTCTTCTTCATTTCAGGCCTTTCAGACTTGGGAGTGGCAAGGTCATCATCACCTGGTTCATCAACATTATTATCTTCAGGTGGTGATGGAGGAGGCGCCACACCCTTTGGCTTGATAGTATAGCTCTTTCTGGTGGAAGCAGTCGGAGATCCCAACCAATCACCGGGCCTCGCAATGTTTGCCGGGAGATCCGAGTTGTCAAACTTCCTTCGAAGGCTTTCCTTCTTCTTGGTTGAGGTAGGGGCCGAATGTGGATACTTGGACAAGTTCGGATCCGGCCTTTCTGCCTCCTCAAAAGGGATCAGTTTAGAATCTCCATAGAAATCACTGCTGCGGAGAACACCATCTTCGTAGATATTGCCATATAGAGATCGACTTTTGACCATGCCTTTGTACCTGTTAACCATTTCTTCTGATGCGGGAGCCATAAAAGTATGGCGCCGTGGAGCTTGGATTGGTGTTGAGGGTTCTACATCAGCATCAAACTGATCGCTTTGTTCGCTCTCTTCTTCGTCGTCGGTTAGGCCAACTTTTGTCTCACTTGAGACTCTCTTTTCAGGATATCTAGCAGCCAAACCGAAGTCTGAGCGTTCAGAAAACCTATGCGAAGTCGATATGTCATCCTTTTCTTGAGATTCTCGTGACACTTCAGAAGACACAGAAGTCTTGCTATGATCAGTTGTGATTGCAATCAAAGCGCTTTCGTCAATAGTGGCTTCGGTCATGCTGATGATGATGATTATGGAGATTTGGAATTGAGAACTGTGTGTTTGCGTGAAACATTCAGTATGAAGTAAGATGCCTTCTGATCGATCAACAGTTCACACTCGAATGGAAAGCGACGATAAGATCGAAGCAGCCCGACCGAAAATGTGAAAGAACTGTCAGTATGTGCGAAGGTTCTGTTTTTAAGTTTAGCGACGGGTCCAAATTTCATGATTTTACTATGACTAAGTAGCACTGAAATCAAGACTACATAGATAAGGCACTAAAACTAAATCTCTATGATTGGCGGGCTTGCTCTCTTATTTAGAAACACAGATTGTAAGTGCGGAAAATCATTAAGGAGGTTTGATGGCATGGCAAACCAAGGGGTTCACGCAGATGCCATATTTGAAGCGACAAATGTGAACCGTAGATTTACCAAAATGCCCTCTGTGTCATGAAATTGTCAAGACAAGAAATGGTACCAATACCGGTAGGAGTAGAGACATTAGATTCATTCGTTTTTGGACTCCGGTGAAATCACAGAATATACCCCGTGCTAGATTTATAGTCAGGATGTTGCTTTTACTGGTACTATGTGTGAACCGAAGGGGGATCCTTGCATTTTGTGACCAATGATCCTATAATGCCTACCAGTACTAGTAGGTGTGAGGTAATCTCTCCACAAACGCCGGTCCCTGCAACACATTATATATCAGAGATGCGGCAAGATGATCCTCCACATTGTTGTTCTTGACACTGTTGGTGTTGGCAGCAGCGCATTGCAATACGTTGGACCACAGTGCTAGTGGACACGAGGATGACGATGCCTTTAGAATCCGAGCAAAGTTGTCATCCAAAGCCTTTTGCAAGGCAGCTGAGTGATTTTGGTACAATGGTAGTTTCCAATTGATATCTCCTCCCAAACAGCATAATTCAGGATTTTGTTCCAAGATCGTCAGCAAATGATTGGACTCCTCATTTGTATTATTATTGTTGTCATTATGCTTGTTGACAACTGGATTGCCCTCCAAGTTGAGCGATCTCAGCCTCGTCCTTGTTGTTCTCGTTGGAGATTTCTTCGTAGTACGAGGAGTGGTCTTCACCACAACAAGAGACGACAAGGATCGAATGTTATTACCAGATAGATTCAGTCGTTGCAGTTGTGGACAGATTGGCAGAATTTCTCGCCAAATGGCTTTCAAATGTTCATTGTTCAAATCGCACATGGACAACCGCAGTGACTTTAGATTCTTCATCGCGCCGCAGCCATCACCGGCGAGATACATTTTGAGTTTTCGAATTTGAATTTCGGATCCATTGATTTTGAGCTCTTCCAGAGTAGATGGAAGAGAAGGTCCCATTGGCAACATCATATTGGATATTTGCAGCACTTTGAGATTGGTGGCCTCGACAATGGACTTGGGCAAAAAGGTCATGCGATGACATGCCTTGATACTGATGTGTGTCAAGGAATCCGGAAGGGGTGGGAGCTTGTCAAGCGAATAGCATTCGTCAACAATCAATTCCTTTAGCTTGCACTTTTGTAGAGTTGTTGTTGTTGTTGTAGTAGTATTATCTTTCGATGTCACCGTCGTCAGGCTGATCAAGTCTTCCATAGCATGAATCTCCACTTTTTCCAACGAGGGAAGGCCCCAGACTGAATCCGGAATGGACACAAAGGAACAATTGTGAAAGTCAAGTGATTTGATGTGCCCACCACCGTCTGGATGGTGATATTCAATGTTGACGTAGGCGGGAAGATACCAATCGTCGGCAGCAGACGATCCTTCTTGTGCTCCTGGTCCTGCTCCTTCTGGTGCTAGTACTTGCACTGAAAATGGATCCTGAAAGTCCAGCCGATCTAGCTGCTGATACATAGAGTTCTTTTTGTTTACGTTGTGCGTTCGAAGAAAGTTGTCCCATTGTGTCGCGTGACTCTGCTGGTGGACGGCAACAACATCATCATTAAGATGGATGCTGGTGGTAGTTTCAGTACCAGTCGTCATCATCGTGTCCATGATCAGGTAGCCACACGTTCGATCTTTTCTTTCGGTTGCTTTGTGTTGAAATGTGGTTGAGTGGTTATGGGATTCGATATTACGTTCCGGTTCATTGCCAAATCCTTCCGTTTACAAGATTGGATCGAGTGGTGTTGATAAAGTGATGGCCCAAAATTCGAAGGCTTGCGACTTGTTTAGTCCCCCATTTTGGACTAGAATATTAGTGCCATCTCGAATCACACGATGAGTGAGTGAATGAGTCGAGCTATTCATGAGATGGACGTAGGGACAGACCGAATGACTGCGACGTCGGAGTGAATGTCGCTATATATGCATACAAAATATTCGAATGCCGGTATACAAATGGAAGAATAAAAGTTCATATTCTCATACCGGTATATTCGAATCATCGTCTGTACAATAAGAACAAACTACGGAAAAAACCTTTTATTTGTGTGGTACTGCTGATCGAAACCGGCTGCAGAATAAGGAAATGAGCTGGGCTGAGGTGGAGAATCTGGAAACTGAATTGGGGCATTGGCAGTATTGGTATGACGAGTTTTGGCTACAGCGTGTTTAGAGAGCTGGTGTCGAATCGTCAGCGAGGTCAGCAACGAAGACTCTTCCAGCCGAATTTTTGGACGATGACGGAGTAGAAGGGAAAGGAAATCGAAAGCTGTTCTTTTGGAGGGTGCTTTCTTCATGGGAAGAAGGAGACCACTGTCTTCCAAATTTAAAAGTAAGAGGTTATCGGCTGTATGCATCGTTCCATGGAGATCGGGTGAAACGTGATCCAGTCGTGGAATTGTTGAAAGACGACCGTGACGGAACGCTGCGGTTGTTTGCTGCTAAGGAATTTTGTCTGGGAGACGCTCTGGTTTTTTTATCGAATTATGAGGAAGCAACCCAAACGTGCTCGCAGGGAGGAGCGTTCGCTAGAGTAACAGACGAGAGAGATAAGGGAAATGCATATCTGGCACGTAGCCGTGTCCTACGATGCATGAGAAAAATAAAAAAAGGTGAAGAGATTGTACGGTGGATGAACCGAGGAGATCCAATAAAGTGTTTTGAAATGGTCGACCGGTTGGTAATGTCACCTGATAAAATGATTCTCGGCAGAGTTTGTTTACTCGATGTAGACTTAATACCCGGGAAGGAAGTTCGCGTTGGTGTGGAATATACGGATGGTACCGTACAGGATATCAAGGAGAAACACCACCTGCCTATTTTCCAAATGAAGAAGTGGAGCAATGACCTATTATTTTGAGAAACTGTTGTTGATTTGCGGTGCGCGAATGGAGTGGGAAGAGCAACAAGATGAATAACTTATACCCCCTGGTACTGTAGTAATAACTTGCCTCTCAATCATTTTTGATACCGGTACATAGAACATGCAGTCAACTATGGAGCTTCTTTAGGCCTTTTATAGTTTTGCCACGATCCAAATATCATAACTTTCAACTTCTTATTGCGTAATATATATTTCATTTCGTTCAACAGTAACCGCTCACAGGTGAAACAACAACTTGAAGCAAATTATATCTTGTGAAACAATAGTAACACACTGCTTAGGTTTGAGTTTTGGCACGATCCAATCTTATTGGTATTTTCATCAAGAAGACGATTCGACGTATTCATAACAAAGTTGGAATGCATATTAGCACAACAACCTCAAGCAACCTGTGAAACAAGAACGGACTATTACCCAATCAATTCACCGTTTGCCTTATATATCCGTCTACGGTATTAAATAAGCAAGCTCATTGCTTTCTAGTACAGTATGATGATGAGAAGGCTAGAGGATTTCAATCCCAACCTTTACACTCCTACAGAAGATTACACCTGCATCATTGCCTTTAATGAACAGACGTATGTGGACAAGACCAAATGGACCATTCGATCTCATTTTGCAACCACGATAGTCTTCTGTATATGCTTCCTCAAGCTGTATTTCTGGCCTCATCACAAAGCTATGTTCCCTGGTACTGTCTTGTCCCAAAGAAAAATTGTGGAGCGATTGGTTCCCTTGTTTCTCCTGATGGAATCCTTTTCGCATCTGTTTGTTGGCATGTATCACCTGGTCATTGAGGAGAAAACCGAAGAAACAAATCCCTTGAAAAGCATTTCCCAAATGTTTGGAATGTTTGCCGCTGTGATTTTATTCTTGTTTGCCCTCATGGTGGTCATGGCCTGTTATCACAAACTATCCCCAGTCACACAAGTGATTTGGAGGTTTGGAATCTTGGGCTTGTGGCTAGCGGTGATTTATGCCTACATGTTTAATCGGTCAGTTTTTTTGGGCATTGATATTCACATGTACGTCTTGGTGGGAGTATGCCTCCTGTTGCTCTTGGCCTATGGGATCCGCATCTTTCATACACCCACATCAACGACCAATGGATCGTCGTCGATCTGTCACTTGTTCAACAAGTCTCTAGCAATCTTGATTGTGGTGTTGGCCACTGCCTATGCCTACAGTGTATACCGAAAATGTGGATCCTACGATGGATATTTGGAATGTTTCATCAGGTGTCCACTGCCCTATGGCCTGAATCATACCTCGTTTTACAATATTGCCAAACTATTGGCCTTGGGTGGCTGGGCCATTGCGGAAGATATCAGTCCATCGGTTTCACTGGAGCTATTAACTGCGGGACTGCGTGCTGCCGGAAATGCTGGTACGGATGAGGCCACTGTCATTTCCGATGGACCCGATCTATTTGAACCCGATGACGACCTGGACAAGGAGGACGATCAGGGCGACGACCAAGATAATATTACAGATGATGTACAGCAAGATGTGGGACAGGATATTGAATCCAACGAGAATGATCTCGAGGAGGCAAGGAGCGACAGTTTTCTGGCCGATGACGTCGAGCCTCGACAACCTAACGAAGATTTCAATAATATTGGAGACAAGACACTGAAACTACAAGACGCCTCACTCTCGTGTGAACTTGAAGGTGTGGTCGATGAGGAGCAGGCATCGTTGCCATCTGTTGTTGAAAAAGGCTGAATACCACAAGTGATGAAAAATAAAGGTGACACATAATTATATGCTTGGTGAATAACGTTAATCACTATCAGACTTTGGTGTCGATGAAAGCTGCAAGTTGCAAAGATTGAAGGAATCAATGCATATACACCGAGATCTCATCCAAATCGCCAAGGACTAATTGGAATAAATCTTCAACAGCCTCTGAGGTACTGTAGGATTATGATTGTCTCAGCATAACGTCATTGGGATGTGCTTGAGACAAATTGGATCCGAAAGAAAAATACCATTTTTGTGTGGCGTTTACCTTATTATTATTCATCAAATTCTATTTAGTTATTTTTTAAAATTACAAAACATGAAACTAAAAAAACTTCTTGCACCAAAGATACTCTTGGCACACAAAACCATAAGCCCAAACGTAGTATGGATCGAGCCAAAACAGGCAACTACCGAGTAATTCTAGCATCATAGGCTGATTCGAACCTGGCACCGGCATCGTCATCATTGTCGTCATCATCATCATCATCGCGACCACCACCACTACTTCGTCCCTTTTTGGCTTCCACTGATCTCAATAGAGCTTCAATGCGGTCCAATCGTTGCTCATGGGATTCTTCTTTGGGCAAACAGTCTGCCAATCGAAATAATACTCGAGTCGAAGATGGACGCGCATCAGGGTTGTTCTCCAAACAATCTTTCACAAGTTGTTTGACGTCCTTGTCGGGAATGCTTCTCATTTCGGGTCGCTTGTTGGCCAATTTCTTGGCAATCGTTTTGCGGGTTTTGGTATTGGATTTGCCCTTGAACTTGGACATGAATCCAAAGGGTTCCTTGAGCGTGGCAACCTGCCACAGTATGATTCCCAAACTGTACACGTCCGAGGCAAAGGACGCTTGATTGCTCAAAATGTATTCCGGACTCATGTACCGCAAATGTTGGACGCTCGGATCCACATCAAAGACCGAAAAGTCAAAGACCTTGACGGTCCCATTCCGGGAAAACCCAATACAATCGGGCCGGAGTGGATTGACAATGTGTCGGGCGTGTAAATACATCATGGCACGGGCCACCCCCAAGACGCAAGAGTACAATCGTTCGTTCAGTGGCGGAGCATGGGCCTGGCTGCCACCACCAAATTTGCTAGGCTTCTTCTTTTGAGGATTCTGATGATGGTGATGATTCATCTTCCGCCTTGAACCTCCTGGAGTCTTGATGGGTTGTCCCGTCTTCCATGCCAGTATGCGATCCTCCAGTGTTTCTTCAATCAAATCGTAGGCCAAGAAATAACCAAAGGAAGAATGCGAGCTTAAGCCAACGGCATTGACAATGTTTGGATGCTTGAGTCGTTGCATCATTTTGGCTTCTCGTTTTAAGTTCAAAGCTTCCTGTTCCATGGACTCTCGGGATTGACTCTTGTTTTTGAGGCATTTGAGTGAAAAGTATTCTCGCATATCATCCACATCGTCGGTAGGACTGCGATTCACCTGAATCTTGAAAACTTGAAAACCCGAGCCTTCTTGCAATCGTTGATGAATATTGAAATCGGTCAGGCTCACAGGAGCGAGTTCCGCAAGAGCAGATAAGGATAGCCGTGTATCAAAGTGCGAGGACGACATGTTTGCTGTAGATCCTACAGTAGTGACATCGTCCTCCTCGTAGCGAGAAGTGAGGGATGTATTGTAAGAGGAGGACTGTGCTTTGCGGATGAGAGCTGCGGCTGCTGCGGTTGGAACGAGTGGGAGCGGTGCCAACCAATCTGAATCTCTTGAATGACTTGAATACTCAGAATGTGATGCTGAAGATGTGTGGTGGTGGTGCGCTTCTTGGTTGTGTGTGATTATCAGCGTATTGTTCATATCAGGTATGCTTAAGATTCAGGGGAATGGGATAAGATAAAGGTAATAAGATCTTATCAAAACTGAAGACTTTGAGATGTACCTATACCGATAGCCGGTAGTAATAATATCAGGCGTAACAATTAATCAGGTGGCTGCACCTGAGAAGGATTTTGGGAAGGATAGGAATGTTTTACAAAACAGGTTCTCTCAGCAGCGTGGAAGTTCTGTGCTATGACAAGGCAGACGGGAAAACAGGAAAATAGCGATGGTGGTTTAGACTTATAGCTAATCGTAGTTTGGGCTCGATTCTATTCGACACTCTTCCCTAAGTGTTTAGCTGTTTTTAAGTAATCACCAATACAAAGGCCGAAAATTGCCGCAAGCAGAGTTCGCGGGGTCTATCGTCATTGTACTGTACGGATTCAAAAGTCGTCGATGCAAGAGTTTTGTCACGCAAACATTTGTGCTCCATTATTGTAAGATTGGTCTACAAATCTTGCTTGCCGCAAGCAGAGTTCGCGGGGTCTATCGTCATTGTACTGTAGGGATTCAAAAGTCGTCGATGCAAGAGTTTTGTCACGCAAACATTTGTGCTCCATTATTGTAAGATTGGTCTACAAATCTTGCTTTCTTGATGATGAACGGGGTGCAATTGTCAGCCAATATTTTCATTCTACTCCTCATCAGCACTGATGCTTCAAAATGACTCAGATGATGATGATTCGGAATAAGCGCGTCCCCTCCTCTGCTGGTCCGTCCGGTCCGTCCAATGTCCGGTCCGCGGGCGACTGCACCACGCACGCTCCGCGGTTCCAACATGACCCATGACCTCTTCGATTCAAATATCAAACACGACTTGGTACGGATGCAGACGTGCTTGGCAGGTGAACAAAAACTTGGGGCGGGAGTGATGAATACGGGTTTGCCCCTAAATGACTGTTTGTCTCAGCCTATTTCCATTGGTGCAAGACTTGTCGTTCATGTCTTTGACACGTGCAGACATAGTTCGAGTCCAAACTCACGACTTCCGAGTGCATGTTTCCGGTTTCCCTACTGTACTGTATGAGAACTATATGGAATCATTGATGTGATACAAAGGTCCTCCGAATTGAATTGTGGTGACTGATACTCTCTGCTGAATAATACCAGTCGGGCCAAGTTTTGCTCAAACACAATTCGGATCCTAATCTTGCTTTCATAATCTTATCCGATCGATTGCAATCATTCATCACAAATCAATCAATCAATCAATCAATCAATCAAACTATCTTCTTATAGAACAACAATAAGACTACTATGAAACTACTTTGGACTCTCGTGTTGGTATCTCAATTGGTATCCAGTACCTCTGCTACATCATCATCTTCAACATCATCAGCTGCTTCCGATGAAAAGGAGCGCAACCATCTTCGACGACAACGAAAGACTCAAGTCATTGAAGACGAGGTAACTGCTTCCGTACAAGCAGACGGTCGCCGAAGAATCGTTCTGCACTGTCAGCCCAACAAGGTGCATCAAGTCTGCCTGAATCGTCTCAAGGAATTTGAAGACGGCCGTCTCGAGATCATTCATAAGCTACACGAATCTCAAGCCTGGGCTGTGTCGATTGGGGAATCTGATGAAGCCACCATCAAGGCTTTGGAAGAAGGAGACTTTTTTGACATTGAATCAGATGTCATTCGCAGACCCATGTACATTCCGGAATCCTTGCAAATTGAAACAGGCAGAAACCTGCAATTCTGGAACCGACAAGATGTTCCCTATGGTATTGAAATGGTCAAGGCCCAACAAGCTTGGGAAAAGTTCAACACCAAAGGTGCTGGAGTCAAGGTCTGTGTGGTGGATACTGGTATCCTAGGAAGTCACGAAGACTTCAACACCAACAAACTCAGTGGATATTCGGGACGGGAAGCAGTCACCCCATGGGATCGTGATGGCAACGGTCATGGTACTCATGTGAGTGGTACCATTGCCGCTGCGGATAATGACAGTGGAGTCGTCGGTGTGGCACCCGATGCCGAGATTTACACCGTCCGAATCTTTGACAATCGTGGTGATTTCTTTGGGTCCGACGTGGTGGCAGCTGCCGAAGCTTGCCGTGACGCGGGCGCTCAAATCATTTCCATGAGTCTTGGAGGACCATCCTACCAAGGTGATGAGAAGCGCATCTTTGATGCTCTCTTTGATCAAGGCATCCTTCCAATTGCTGCTGCTGGAAATGATGGAGACGATGACTACAGTTTCCCTGCCTCCTATGCTCGGGTCATGAGTGTGGCTGCTGTCAACTCGAACCGAAACCATGCTTCCTTTTCTCAGTACAATGACCGTGTCGATATTGCTGCTCCTGGTACGTACTATCATGTCATTGCCGTCCTTTTTTTGGGGGGGTGTAAATCACAGCACATGCTAACAAATTATCCTTCCTTTTATCTTTTGCTCTACATTTACAGGCGTCAATGTTCGATCCTGCTGGAACAATGGAAGATATTCTTCCATCAGTGGAACCTCCATGGCTACTCCCCACGTTTCGGGAGTGGCTGCTCTCATGAAGTCTTACAAGCCCAATGCTACTCCTCAGGAGCTCTTCAATGCCATGATCAACACTGCCGTGAATCCCAACACCAATGGCCGTGATGATAAATATGGTCATGGTATCATCAATGCAGTAGCTGCCATGGATGCCTTGGATGGCAATACGCCGGATGCACCTACTTCACCACCACAGAACTGTCCACAAGGCAAAATCAACTTTCAGTTCACTCTCCGAACCGACGATTATGGATATGAAACATCTTGGGAACTAAAGGATGTGTCCAATGGAAGAGTTGTCGAGTCTCGAGCCGAAGGAAGCTTGGGCAACAACGCCAACGATGATCTCCAGGTTTGTTTGAATGGAAACGCTTGCTACACACTTACCATCCAAGATTCCTACGGAGATGGTTTGTGCTGTGGTCAAGGTAATCCTGGTTATGACATTGTGGCAGATGGCCAAGTCCTTCAGCAAAATCAAGAGTTTTTGTCATCCGTCGTTACTATTCCAGGCATTGGAAATTGCGATGGTGTCAATTTGCCTCCTACCGGCCCACCCGTCAGCTCGCCCACCAATCCTCCAGTGTCCAACCCAACCAACCCACCTGTGTCTCCACCAACTCAGCCTCCAGTTCCATCACCAACCTCGCCACCAGAAAATGAAGAATGTTGCTTCTTGTTTTGGTGCTGGAGTTGCTAGTGGCTGATAGCTACTTGGTACTTGCTATTATCTAGAGTAGCTGGCATTCATACTGATACTGGAACCATAAGGACAGATTTGATCCGACCATGGTATTATAAATAAATTGTTACACTATAAATACACACTGGTTTCACTATAGAATATTATACTATTTGATTTGATATCCAGTCAAGATGGAAAAGAGTATCAATCAAATATGCTTCAGGATTCGTGATCCAAGGGTTGTCTGCCCCAAAGTATCGCTTGATGCTCTTCTTTTGGACTTTCTGAATATTGCGAGTAGCGTGAGAATGGGGTTAGTGGTGAAAGTAGGATTGTTGACTCTACTTTGGAATGCTTGGTCTTACCTGCAGATTATAAACGAGAGAATCAATGTTCCAGACAACCTTGTTGGGCTTCGCTGGATTTTCGTTACTGCCATTGTTGAAAAACATGTAGTCGACCCGACCTTGCATTTCCAGGCAATTCTTGTATATATGATTCAAGGTATTGCCGTCATCGCAAACTTCATCAAACTTGCGTTATTGTTCCGATACTATACGGGTACTACATAGACTGTAGTATTAAAAAATATCACCTCTTTCTTTAGCTTTAGATTGACATCATGTGCAACGAGTATACTACTGAGTCATCGTCCCTTACCAGGCATACTGGTAGCATATTTCCCCCTGATAGCGAATCTTCACTGGTAGATGAAACTTCCAATTGCGGGTTCATGGATTGCCACAGAGGAGGTGTTTTCTGAAAGCCGAACCAACTTGCTGGTGATGTGAAAAGCCTTCGTGTGAAGCAGTTATTAGAATCTGGACATAGCTTTGTATGTGCATATAAAGAGTCCAGTATTGCAGTATCGACGGCTGCTTGTGCACATTGCAATGATACTGTCGCGTAAGCTTTTTGTAGTCCCGTGGCATCGTCGATTCCGAGTCGTTCTTGGCGCATCCGCTCTCTTATTACTGCCTTGTACGCTTCACGCTTATTTTTTTGAGATTGATAAAAGCCCGCATCAGTCCCTCGTTCCAATCCTCGAAGATTGTCTGTGGCGCGTTGCATCCCCCTGTCAAAACGTTGAACCACAAGTTTGGCATCTTTGATGATGGCCTTGATCTCAGCTTTGCTGTACCATAAATCAGTTTTCAAATCTGCTACGTCAAGTAATGTGGCTATACTTGGAATTCTCAAGACCTTCACCTCTTCGTTGAAGGAAACGTTACAGCAGGGCCCACCCATCATCATTTTATAAAACTGCCGATGGAATCATAAAAATGAGAGCTACCGTTTCTGCCGGATCAAATTGCAGCATTTTGTGGATAGGTGTCAAGAATTACGTCATTGGTGTCACACTCTGTCGCAAAATTCCTAACAAAAATATGAATGGAAATTCGAAAATGTCAGTAACAGATTGAAAAGGTGTCAACCTCGGCAATGTTCAATGGATGTACACTATGTGTACCGGTACGTCATTCATTCGTTCGAATAATTTTGATCGAGTGTGTCGACAGTCCGGCGATTGTACAGTTAGTACTGTATGTATTTATATTCATGTATATTCATGTTTGATGATGAATACTACTTCTTGCCATGGTCATGCCTACCTAACCTATGAAGTACTGATACACCTTACTCACTGAGATTATTGACATTAAAAATATGTTCTAGTCGTGGTCTTCTACTGGTTCACCTAGTCCAATAGGGTCAGGAACCTTTGGAGCTTTGATCTTCTTCGCCCTAACATCATCCATATCCACTTGATCAAACCATTCATGTTCCAGAATGTCCTTCTCCCGAAAGGTTCCTATCCGCTTACTTGGATTCTTTTCCAAGAGACGTGATATCAGATGCTCTGCTTCGACAGAAACATGTTCCGGCAATGGAAAGTGGGGGCTGTGGCAAATGACATCGTACAAGGTACCATTGTCCATTCCTTCTTCCCAGAATGGATTGTCTCCGTCAACCATCTCGAATATCAGTACTCCAAGACTCCAATTGTCAGCAGCGCCGTCGTGACCTCTTTGTAGAATAACTTCTGGTGCCACAAAGTTTGGTGTTCCACAAAAGGTATACGTTTTGTCCGCATCGAGCTTTTTGGCAAAACCAAAATCAGTCAGTACAGGGTATCCGTCGCTGTCAATCAAGATATTCTCTGGTTTCAAATCACGATACAAGTACTTTTGCTTGTGCATAAACGCAAGTGTATCAGCAATAATCGAAGTATAGAATTTGGCACACGGTTCATTCATGCCAGAAATCCAGAAACCGTCATCAGTTTGCCGATGAATAACATCAAACAGTTCACCTCCTGGAGCAATCGACATAAGCATTGACATTTCAGTTTCAGATTTGTACACATTCAGCAGTCGAACAATGAAAGGGTGCTGTAGCGCTCTCATTAGTTTCGTTTCCTTTCGAATGGCTTCCGTCCGATCGTAATTCTTGGCAGTTTTCAGCTGCTGAATCTTCAGAGCAAGAGGCTCAGGATCTTTAGTGACGTTCTTGTCAGTGACAAGCCACACTTTACCATATTGGCCCTCCCCCAACAGACGATAATAGTTCAGATCCTTCAGGCCAATGTTGCATTTCTGCGGTGGGGCCGCCCGTATTGCCCCCATGACAGCAGCAAGATCTCCGAGTGAAAGAATTCCGCAACTCGATGCGTAAGCAGCAGTCGCGGAAAAGTCAGCCACAACAAAATCCGGTAATTTCCCGGTGGAGACTAGCTCCATATGCTCAGTACCAAAGAATCCTCCCGGTAATATTGTTTGTTCTTCCCCCTTGGCGTTTGTCAGCTTCACTTTTCCACTTCTGACGAGGTACATTAATGGTTTTGTCTCCTCTCCCTTCTCACAAATGACCTCAGAAGCCTCGAATCTCACTTCCTCCAGTTGGGCCACCAAGTCTTGCAGTTGCGTACTCAAAAGCCCCGCATCTCGAATGGATCGAACAGTCAGCTGGGAAAAGATAGAAATGGCAACATGAGCTCCGCCACAAAGAAAGAAAGAAATCACGACAACCAAATAATACGTACCAGCGCTTTTTGTTCTTCATTTTTGCGTTTCAATCGGTCGTAATCTCCAAAGACCTTTCGGAAACTGACAGGATCGATAGTGAAAGCCATCCCGGCGGTCTTTGCCAATGCGCTAACTTTAGCTGCCTTCTCGTCACCAGCCTGCAAAGCACTCTCTCCAATGTATTCACCAGCACCAACTTCGGATTCGGATGCAACAACCGAACCCTGTTGAATAATGCAGAATGGCATCTCTTTGAACTTCCGTGTGATATTCTCTCCTTTTCGGAACTTTCGTGGAACCATGGCTTCCGATAGCTGAGCCAAATCTGCCTCGTCCAAATCCTTGAACATGTCTACACTCTTCAGTAGCTTCACCTTGTCTTTTTCAGACTTTATCATTTCGTCTCGAACAATGTGCCGGAAGGCATTGTTTTCAATTTGCAACAAGACAGTGCCTTCCCCTCGGGCGACAGCTGAAACTGCTTGCGCAGACGCTCCTTGTAGTGCCATATCACCAAAGGTTTGACCTGCGCTTGCGGTTCCAACCTTGATACCATCGCTGTAGAAATCAACTTCACCACTATGAACAATCGAGTAGAAACGCTCCGGTGCACCAGCCTTGGCAATAGTGGCGCCAGATTTGAACATTTTGGGTTCAAAGGCATCGACTAGAGGTTTGATTTGATCTTTATCAAGCCCTTGGAATGCCGCGTTGTCAACAACAGTGTCTTCAATCAATGCCTCTTCCTCTGTCGACTTTTGGTAGACTGGTCTCTTGTATTCTTTCGTAAAGTCGATACTCTCAGCCTGCATGTTCATGAATTTCTCGGGAGCGGACTCCTTTGGTGCAGGATTGTCTGCATCTTTCTTGTCCTTCATTCGTTCCATTCTTGATTCAAAAGGGTTATCACTTGCAGCCGCTTTCTTTCCACCCATCGTCTGTAGCGGAGCGGAATAAGCAACTTTTTCCTTCCTGGTTTCCCACACACCCATAATCTTCATAAAAATCGGTTTCTGAGCCTCTAGGTGGTCTTCTCGCTCTCTGCCTTGTTTCAGCAGATCCATGGGATCATCGTCACCAAGGGGTGGCAAATAGTCATCTTCCAGAAATTCGTCATCCATTTCATCTGCATCCGAGAGAATGTCAGCATCAAGAGCATCGAGGAAGTCAAGCATCTCGTTCTGTGCGTCATCAATGAAATTTGTTTCGCCACTCTCCTCGGGTATACCCTCCTCTCCTGATTTCTTTTTCTTCTTCTTTTTTACCTTATCTTTATCGGCAGGCTTCTTCTTTTTGGACTTTGTGCTACGTTCGTCATCATCCAGTTTCTTGGACTTTGAAGATTTGGCAGATTTGGCAGATTTGGTGGATTTTTTGCTTTTGGTTGACTTTCTACTCTTGTTATCATCGTCATCACTGGCACCCTTCGCCTTCTTCTTTTCCTTCTTGAAAAAGCTATCCAGCTCGCCTTTCTTCTCCTTCTTACCCCCTTTCTTGCTTTTCGTTCGTTTCACTTTGGGCCGAGGTGATGAGCTTCCTTTTTTCTTTTTCTTGGAGCCTTCGTCGTCAGATGCTTCAGGTGTCCCTGAGTCTCCACTTGCACTCTTGGGAACATCCTGGCTTTGATAAACTGAATTCTTGGTGACATCACCTTTACCACCCCCACCAACCATCGATATGCGAACCTCTTCGCCAACTGGAACGAAATCGTCCATATCTGCCAATAAGTCATCCATATCCACAGAAGCTTCCGGATCAAAATCATCTAGAATATCTGTATCTGCCTTTGCTTTTGGCCTATCTTCGTCATCAGAACTATCATCGTCGCTATCAGCTTCCTTACTGTTCCGTTTGCTTTTCCTTTTGGCATACTTCTCAGGATTCATGAGTTTGTCTTCCCGTTTCTTGGATCGATAAAACTCTTTCCAGAAATATCCTCCTTCGTCTAAATGGAACTGGCGACGAACCAAAATGTATTTGCCCTCTTCACTCTTTTCCTCATGGACAGCAACCACTGTTTTCCCTTTCATCTTTGTGCCAATGAACTCATTGACATCGCGGTCTTCATCTTTGTCTCTCATCTTAATGAATGTTGTTTGTGGCCTTGATTTCTCAGGTGCGACAGTGATGGGAGCCTTATTCCGATGGAACGAATCAATCAATCAATCAATCGACTTCAGAGGCTTATACTGAAGCAGAAGTGATGTCCGTGATCCTCTTTCCGCTAGTTTGTTGCTTGGATCCGCGGAACGGATAAAGCATTCACTGTTTGTCCTAAGATGTCGCTGTAATATAACGAGATGATGCGCGTGATGATGCTGCTGTGATACATATTGAATATTTCAGGCGGCGCAGTGCCCGTCGTCTGGATGACTGCCGTCGATGACCCAAGAATTCCATCGGGCGAGTGGCAGTCAGATTGGTCAAATTGGAAAATTTGGGTCGTGCAGCCAGGCAGGTTCCGATTGTATGTCCTACCGTATTCGTTTCACAAAATTGTCCAACCTACACCAAAATATGATTATATAGATTGGTAGGCGTGCTTGATGTGGGACAGAAGGTCTTTCAGCTGCTATAGATGAATGCATTATGTTGTGAACCGCATCCGGAGTGGCGACAGAATAAAATGATCAGAGCACAGCAGTGGCACTTGCATGCACCCAGTCAGCACCAGCAATCATTATGATAGTAGGAGTAGTAGGCTAGAAGTAGCAAAGTCTTGTTGCCCCCACCATCTGCTACTAGTAGTTTATTGTATTACGGTTCTAGATGGAACGATCATGTCCATGCAGTTGTCTAGTTTCACTATGAATCATCCATGGTCGTGCGGCTGTCAGCTTCAAACCAATCCGCAAGGTTCATTGCCACTGGAGTTTCTTCTTCCTTGTTGCCATGGGATTCTCCACTTATGGATTCCAGATTGGGAGAGCCACTGCTCTGTATTTGATCTGGCTCCAACATGATATCTGAGTACGAAGGTGATCTTCCTGCAATTGGCGACGAAGACGGTTCCAATGATGTTGAGGAGCCAGTTACGTATGCCACCGCCTCCGACGGTGACATGCTGCCAGATGGCGACGATGGTTCCGTTGCTCTCATGGCTTCTCGTAACGAATGCCCTACTTTGTCTCGAGCAACTTTATCGCCAACTTCATACCATCGTTTCGCAACGTCGTCATACCGTACAAATCCTCCATTATGCGTGGACTTGGATCGTATCACTGATATAATGTCGCTAATGACAGCGGATTTGAGGCTTCTTGATTTTGCTTTTACATAGGATGATAGATAATTCTGGACGATGACTTTGAATCTCCGATTGCCAACTATCCAATGCCAACGAAAACGAAAACGACAACAACAACAGCGATGGCAAGTTGAAAATCATGTTAGACAGAACTAAAACAAGAGCACATTGCAAGCATCCAAAAGAATTTTTCTCACCGTGAGACTTTGGCTCTTTCCCGTTGTGACAAATGACATCCCATTCTTTGGGCTGAAATCCAGAAGGCAGGAATTCCTTCTCGAGAGGGCCCTTTTCCGCTTTCTCGTCTTCAGAAGGCTGTGTTTCATCAAAAAGTCCTCGCACGGTATCATGTTCACCAGTGCTACGATTCATCACAAGAATCATCTTTTTATGGTGATCGGCAACGGTTGAAGTTGCCCATACAAACAACTTCAAAATAGCGCTCTGGCAAGTTCCCAGCAGGAGAACCAAAAAGTTCCAGGAAAGGGATTAACACATATCGCGTTCCCTCACTGGTACGATGCTACGCAACTCAAAACGTTAAGAAAACTCACGTGGATGATGCGAGAAAGATAAGAAAGACGTTCGTTCTTTTTTGACCTTCAATTCTAAACACAGAAAAATCAATGGTTCGATACAGAATTTCATTAAGTACCAAACAGATGAGGTAACATCGAATTACCGGAAGAATTTTAAGTTTCGTATTCCTATCCAACTTTAACTTATCAATCAATTATCAGTTCTGTTTGGTCCCGAATTTCAAGACTGCATACAAGGTTATTTGCGCATTTCCAGGCGACGAAAACCTGTATGCACGAATGTCCAGAGCCATATATATTCGTGCTCCAAGGCCATTTCTCTCTTTCGGTGTTCCTCAAATTCCGATGTGTTCTGTCCTCTTGACAACATTGCATTACATTTCGAAATGCGACATTGCGAAACCAAATTGACTAACTAAAACAACAGCCTGAAATTGAGCTTAAATAAACGCCATCTTCACTATTTATTGCCAATCGATCCTACCGAACCTTTTCTTCAACTATTGAACCTTGATAGAAGAGCGTCGACTTTCCTTCAATTCAATGTACCGCGGTGCGACCGAGACATGCAGTATTTTGCGGCCAGTGAGTGATACAAGATGTGTTTACCGTGCCACGCGAACCCATAGTGAGCCTATAAAACATACGCTACAATAAGGGAGCAGATTGAGTGATACTCGTACCGCTTCCGCTGACAGGCAGCTGACGACAACGCAACTCTTGAAAGAGAACCGAATGTCGAAATCCAAGTAGCTATATAGCCAGCATATGGCCTTGGAATGACTACAATCCAATCTCGTACTAGGTGGACGAAAGCATCACTTCCATTCTGCATGTAGGATTGAGCTCAAGAATTTAATTGGGGGGGGGGGGGCTGTCTCATTGGTGCCTACTTGAGCAGAGTTGCTAATGAGGAAGGAGCAGATTGAGTGATACTGCACGTATGTACACGTACAAGATACATATTGCTGACAGCTGACGACGACGCAACTCATGAACGAGAGCCAAGTATCGAAGTCCAAGAATGTATTATTAGGCATCTCGTCTTGGAATGACTACAATAACCCAACCTCGCACTGGCCACTAGTTGGACGAAAGCAACACTTCCATTCATCTAGGATTGAGCTCAAGAATTAACACTATCTCAGCAAAGTGCAGGACACAGAATTTATCGACACAACAGAACATGCATTGTACCTCCGTCGCACAGCCATCCAACTGCAGACAGAGTTTGTTTCCTTTCGATCCTACTACAGTGGTGGATCGAAACACGAGCAAACGATTCCATGCAATACTTATGCATCTTCAGGGTCCTTCTTCTTCGCTTCCTCTTCCTCAGCCTTTTTCTCTTCCTCTTCGACCTTTTTCGCTTCCTCTTCGGCCATCTTTCTTCGTTGAAAGGCACTTGGTCGCATGCACTTGGTAAAACAAGCCGCAAGGAACCACAAGGCTTGGGCCACAATGAGAAGATAACTTCCTTCTCCGATATCGCATTCAAAATAGTGGCATCCATCTGAAATCCACAATAGGTAAACCATGCCCAAACCAACTTGAATCGCCAAGCAACAAACGTCCATCAGAAACTCGGTGCAAGGTAAGGGGCAGCAGAATTGTCGGCAAAAAATGAACATTACTAGCACAAAGCCGCACCCAAATGCAAATGAGGAACCGATCTGCGCAGCTCGTAGATACTGAAAATAAAACGGCATGTCGAAAGGTCGGGAGAAAATGGGCATGTCAGATCACAGTCATTGAGGTAAAAAGCATACAGATCGTAATAATTCTTGGCAGATCGAACCAATCATCAGCCATACAGCCATCCCCAATCAGTAACATGTATCAATTAAATAACTCACAGTGTCTTGTCTTGGTTGCCAGATAATTCCATCGTCTCCATATCTTCCACTGACTTCGTCGACGAATCGCATTTCTGTACATGTATCTGTTCCCGAGTCAGGCAAATTCAAAAAGAAGAGACCATAACTTCCATTGGACGTCTCTCCATCTAGACTCAAGAGTGCGCACGATGCCAACATGATTGCATGACAACAGACTGTAGAATATGGGGTACACGAGACAGGGAAAAGCACGCATCAGGTAAGTCGAATGAACAATAATGAATCAGCAAAAGAATTAGCGTTCTGAACGAAAGGAAGCTCGCATCCAACGTCTATCGAAGGCGTGATTGTTGATTGATGGAGTTGTTCTTATATTCTCTCATTCTTCGTTATCTTCTTTCAACATTGAACTTACGGGCAGCTCCGCAGAGAACGAAAACTAACAAGTCAACCACTATGCCCATTTTCTGTATTATAATATTCGGTATAGAATTACGCTTTCAAAGGATAGTAGGGCTATCGTGGGTGGTATTTTAATTGATGTACACTCGTCGCTTATGTTCAGTTGAGAGATGATGCGAACGAGAAGCAAGATCAAACCGTGTCTGAATTTTCACTTCCGTGAAGTATATTATGTGCATGTGCGAATATTTTGGGCCGCCAGCCTGCCCGGAATGCGCACCTTCTGGGTGCACCTATATTTTTTGCACCCAATATTTTTGGACTGCATATTTTTTATATTTTAAAATATACTCACACGACAGAGATAATTCACATGTATCTACTCCAAATTCTCAATGGAAACTCCTCTTATTATATATACAACTAAATTTGGGTCTCAATGGGTCAATCGGATGTTATTGCGAGCTTTGTTTCTCTATTATTTCTAGTTGGTGCAATTGTGAACAATTACAGAAGTTACCATTCATCATTTCTTGGTTGAAGTCCCCCCCCCCCTGCATCGCACTTGTCTCTCTATAGTCGGAAGGATGGGTGTATTTGAATCTGATGTCATGTCAAGAACTTCGTTTGGAGCCGTGGCTCAGTCCTGATATTTCTGTAAAATTCGGCTGGCCACCTGGATGGGGTGTCAGCCACCGAGTTGTACTAGTCTTTTCTTAGTAAATTGACTCATCGTGGTGGCGGTACCGGTACCGGTACAGGTATCATAGTCACTGCAACTGATTAGTCATGATGACGATTCCCATGCCGATACGATCGACGATTGCTGTCGTCCCATGCCAGTTGACCAAAGCCTCCCGGAATACAATGTCCCGTCTGCAGGCATGACACGGACTGCAATTGGACTTGCATTTATTTGCTTGTGTCTCTCTTTCGTTCTCTCTTTCCTTTCATGCTCGGAGTGCCAGATAAATCAGTAGAATCATTATCGCTATACTCACAAAAAAATGGTATCAGTTCCATATTAATCTTCTTCGTCCGTTCCTCTTGTGAAATCCGAGCCAGCATGGATGCTCGTTTGGGTCGGGCTGTAGTAGTAGAATTGAATCGAACAACCCGTTTCCCTTCTTGTTGTTTCTTGGCTTCCTCTTCCATCATCTTTTTCTTTCGTTGAAAGGCATTCGGTCGCATGGACTTGGTGAAAAAGCCAGCAATCATCCAGAAGACTTGGGCCACAATGAGGAACCAACTTCCAGCTCCAATGTCACATTCCAAGTAGGAGCATCCGTCTGACGTCCACAACAAATAAACCATTGCCAAACCGCAACTTGAATGGCCAAGCAACAGACGTCCATCATGAATTCGGAACAAGGTAGGGGACAAGAACAGAATTGTCGAAAGACGATGAGCACTAATAACACAAACCCGCATCCAAAGGCAAAGCAGGAACCAATCTGGGCAGCTCGTAGATACTATATGCAGAAGCGGCAGAAAAGGAGAGTGTTAGAAAAGATTGAGAATATTGGATTTTTAAAATCGAACAGGATCTGCCCCAATCGATAATGTTATGAGTATGAATGCAACTTGGAACATGGCCATCAAAAGTTATCGGAATGCAATGGTCATCATGAAAATATAAGCATCGTCCATGACTGCTGAACTCACAGTATCTTGTCGGGGTTCCCAGGTATAGGACCATCTTCTCCATATACCGTCCAGTGACTTCGTCGACAGGTCTCATTTCCGTACAAACATCAGTCCCCGAGTCCGGCAGATTGAAAAAAGAACAGACCGTATCTTCCATTGGAATCCTCTCCATTGAACCTCAGGAGTCCACAGGATGCCAACGTGAAGGCATGACAAACCACTTTGGAACGGAAAAAAAAAGCAGTATATAGGTATATGAGACAAAGTGAAATTTGAAACAATGGAAAAGGGTGGGTCAACTTTATAGAATCAGCAGACTGAGACGGAAGACTCTTGTATATATTGCTCCATATAAAAAATGAAACCGCAGTCTCATTCATCATGGTCGCGAGGATCCAAATCTGTAAACAGAATATATATAAAACTTACTGGCAGCTGCACAGAGCACAATGACTAGTAAATCCACCTCGATACTCATGGTGGTACCTAGTATGTTGATGGTCTAAGATCTCTTTGTTTTAGCAGGCATCAACTATATTCGGAATAAGGTCTATTATCTGCTGCCCATGCGCATCAGCCATGATGCATACTGTATGTTATTGACAATCCCAAAATTCCATCGCATTTTATATTCAAATGGTTTGTATGTGTGTCGCGATAATTTTGGGCCGCCGGCCTACCAGCGCACCCCTCTCGTGCACCTCTCACGAATGAACGTAAACCAGGACTGACTCCGATCCTAGCTTTTTGGTAGAACGCAAAAAATAAAACCGAAACTCATCTCCGTCGTCTCCAGATTATATCATCGATTCCGACGCATCAACGGTCAATATATTAGAACGCGTGCTATACTACTGCTCTGCTGTCACAGAAAATAAACAAATACAAATACAAAGCACGCAATCAGAAAAAAAACATGGGATGTTTTGGAGTCCTTGCAGAGCTCTTGTCTCTATTACTATGCATTGGTGCAGGTACGAAACGTATAAAATCATGATCATGATCCAAGTAAAGATATCGCTTCTGTCTGACACACCACACACCACACTCACTCACACACAACACTCACTCACTCACTCGTTCCTCCCCATAAATCGCTTTCACAACTAAAATAACACAGTCGTCACAAATGTCCTTCTTTTACTCTCTTGTGATCTTTGGAGAGTCGAATCCTTGCTCTTTGATGAGGGCAGTTTGGGTCTCTTTTCCTGGAAGGTTCCTGCTAGTAGTCAAAACCACTCGGACCAAGAATGCACCCCCATTGTCGCCTCCGAAGAACAAGACTTTTACGAAGGCCAAATCTTGGTGTGCGCCCGATGGTCCGCCGTGGCCGCTCTGGCGCTGGGCGGCATTATGATTTTTTTGATCTTCTTCCAGCAATACCTCATTCCATTCCCCTGCACTCCCTTGCTACGAGACATTTGTGCCATTGGGGCTCAAATATGCTTGGGATTGGTCTACGTGACCTACTTTTCCAAATTGTGCACCGACTTTGAATGTCATTACGCCGAAGGTACCTTACTCCTCATTGTGACCCAATCTTTGTGGGCCGTCGGGGGTGTCTTGAGTTTGTGCATGCGTCCCGGACGATACGCACGAGCTCAAGCGGAAAAGGCGGAAAGCAACAAACCGACCACTGGTTCTGCCAATGCTGGCAATGCCAATGGGAACGGCAATGCTAATGGAGATGCAAACCATGAGGATGCCGCCGCCTTGGAAGGAGAAGCCCGGGACACCTTTGAGAGTGGTGGTGCGAATCAATTGGAAGCTGGATTGGCCAAGTACGAAAAGGATGATGACGAAGATGGTGGCATGTCGGAAACGTCTTCCATGGCCGTTGGCATGTCCATGAACCCCGACGATGACAAGCCGGATGGAAGGTTGGAACAATCCACGGGATTGGCCAAACAAGAGAAGGAATCGGCCTTGTCGTCGTAATAAAAGCCATGTCGTTTATGTTTCGATAATAAATATGTCGCATGTATTGTACAAGAACAAAATGTACAAAAGAGGGTTTCATTCACCACCACCACGAACAATAAGAACGAAGACGAGGACGAGGACGAGGACGATGAGGGTATAGAGGAGAGCGAAGCACCACCAGCTGTAACATTAATGTCCACCATTGACCATCATCATAACCACCTGGACAAAAAGTTCGTACGTAGCTAGTATGCTGTAGATGAAACAACTGTATATACAATCATTCATTTTATTTCATCACACATCACATCATCATGACCACTTTAGTAGTATTTTTTAAAATATTATCTACCTAGTATATATTAATACAGTCGGTCACTATAAATTTCACTTCGCCACTTGCACCTAATACATACATACATGTACACTGATTGATAGGAATCCAATCCAATCCAATCCAATTCAATCCAATTCCTTCCTTTCCTTTATTCATTCTAATCATTGAATGAATGAATGAATGATTGAATAATTTCAAATTGATGGTTCGATGGATTCCATATATTGAAAGAGAGAGCGCGATATTTCCAACGGAAACTAGCAATTCGAAAGCCAGCAATCCGAATGCATTCGTGAATCATCATCCTCTCGTTCTCATTTCTTCTTTCGTTTTTCTCTTCAAATCACTATCATTCCAATCCACTAATCCTCATTATTCACAAAGTCCATTCCTTCCTTCCTTCCTTCCTTCCTTCCGCATTCATTCATTCAATTATTCCATTCAATTCCATTCATTATTCAATTTCACGCATCCTCATCCTCATTGATATTCCGCAATGCTAGAAATATCAGCAGACTCATAATGAGCAATGACACGCCCACTGGTAGATATTCCATTTCATATCTCTTTTGTCGTTCTTTTAGTTGGAGCCTCAATTGACTGGTATAATGCGACAGGGCCACATTTTTGCGTTCCACCTTGCTGGGTCTCATATATCTGGTAAAGAGGCAGGCCACGAACCAAAAGATATGTGACAAAATTAAAAAGGTGATCCCACCCCCATAGGAACAATAGAAGAAATCGCATCCTTTGGACCACCAAATCAAATGGACCCATCCCAAGGTGACTTGAATGCCCGTGGCACAAAGGTACAAGATCAATTTGTAAAATCGTACTTCCTTGCAAAATTGTCGTATCGTAATGTTGATCACCAAAATGACGCCCAAGATTAACGCCAACAATCCACCGGCTTGGGCAAATTTCAGGACCTTTTATTTGTATATATGTGTATTGTGTGTGTATATATTGTAATTGAATCATATTGATTGCATAATGAAAAGAGCAGGATGAGATGCTTGTCGTTAGTATATTACAATACAATACAATAGCAATAATAGCAATAATAGCAATAATAGCAACAGCAACCACTATTCAATCCCCCTTCAACAAACTTACCTCATCCGACCTAGGGTCCCAAACAAAGTCTGGAAATCGTTCCGAAGTGACAGCGCTCAAGGTTCCCCGACAGGTGGGGGTATCCGGCGGTTGCAACAAGAACAATCCAAAACCACCCTGAATGAATTGCCCTCCTTCCAATACCAACATCCGACATGAGGCGACCGCAATGGCATTTAGAACAACTGAAATAGATTGCAATGGAAATAATGATTGGAACGAAGCGTTAGAAGCAATAATACACAAACAATACATAGACACTCACATAAATCAAAACATAAATGAAAGCACAACAAACACAACAAGCACAACAAGCACAACAAACAAAAGAAAGAAAGAAAAGCAAACAAAAGCAAACAAACAAACAAACTTACTGGCAATAAACGAACACACAAAGACACAAAATTCGGCCATCAATTGTTTCCATTCTTCCGCATTGATTTGTTCGTCTCGTTCCGTTTGTACCGTCGTAGAGCGAAAGGCTGCCATGGAGGGTCTGGCAATGCCCGTGTTGCTGTCTTTTGCTGTTATAGCGCTGCTCATTGTTATTCTTATTATTATTATTATTCTTGTTCTTATTCTTATTGCTCCTTGTTTGTTTATTTGTTTGTTTGTATGTTTGTATGTTGTTCCAGTACGGTATAATGATGGGTAACAACAACACTACCGTTATAATGGAATACGATGATCGAACAGTTGTAGTATTGTATTGCAGTGGCGAATATAACATTACCTATATTTGCCTATATTCCATAATATAATAAAAATCAAAACGGTGAAAATACTTTAACGCTCGCTGGTTGTTTGCGGACTGCCAAAAGTTTTTTGAATGTTTTCGCAAGAGGAATTTGGAATCTTTGATACTATATCATTGTTTTAAAAATAGATAATCGGGAGAACAAATGGCCATTCCCCGCGTCCACCCACCCACTCCTTCTTTCTGACACTCACTGCGTTCTCTATTATTACCGGTAGTACAAGTACTCGTAGGTATATTCCTTCCGTGTGTGATGTGCAAGTGCGCGGAATGCCGGCAACCGGCAACTAAAAGATCAGGAGAATGAATGCTTCAAAGTTTGGTGTTCCGGGTTCCGCCTTGATGAGAAGCAGCAGATGTCTCTTTCATATATATATTTGACACCCGATTGTAAAAGGAAAAACTGTTCATGTCTGGAGAAAAACTGTTTTTATCAGGCAATTAATAACTTCAACAAAGAACACCAATCGAAATCATACAAGAGAAGGAAAAAGAGGTGGAAATTCGACCTCGAAACGGAAGGGTGTCCACATTTTTTAGAAAATACCTCGGATCATCCTGTTCTTCCATCCTTCCATCCATCCGCCGGTACTGGTACCATACTGGTAGCTCAAATAACTCTTAAACCTCACTCACTTTCAAAGCGAATGCCAATCCACAAAACCGAAGTGTGCTTTGCTGCTTTTGTTGAACAGAACACGAATTAGCGGCTTTATCACTCAATCAAAACACAATACAATACAAAACAATACAATTGAATCGTTCGTTCGTTCGTTCGTTCGTGTGTTGAAACAAAGCACATTAATCAGCAAGCATCAGCAAGCATCAGCAACCAGCACCATTAACATCCTTACACTGACAACCGCAACAGCAGCAACAGCAGCATCACGAGCCAATAAGGACAGCAGTCATATTCATAACATGCCTCCTCTTTCCTTGGTTTCACTGCTGCATGCTCCTCAAAATCCTCAGTCTCTATCACTCACTTCAACAACAACATCGTCATCAACATCAACAACAACATCGTCATCGCCATCGACGAAAAGAAGGCTGCATCGATCCTTCAGCGAAGGCAGCAGTGAAAGCAGTAGTGCTGAATTTATGAAGGAAGGACAAAGACCATTACCATTCCTTCTCAACAACAACAGCAGCAACAACAACAGCAACAGCAACAACAACAACAACAAGGGGCTACCATCCTTTGCGGAACTCATTTCCACAACAGCAGCTGGAAGCAATGTGCAAGAACAACCAGAACCGCAAGAAGAAGAAGAAGTGAAACACGTTTCCTTCAATCCCAAAGTATTGGTAATTCAACCAGTCTTTCTCGAGGATAGCAAGAGCAACAACAGTAAGAATACTACGAAGCCAACCACCAATTCCAAAACATCCAAACAATCCAGGCTGCTCTTTGCCAAATCGGATTGCTGGTACACGGAACCCGACATTGATGAATTTCAAAAGGCATCCTTCCTGACCATCAAACGATTTCAACGGAATTGGCATCTCACCAACGACGATTGTTTGCGGGGATTGGAAAGTCAGACCACCAAATGCACGGCCACCAAGGTCCGGATCAAGGTCTACAACGACCTGGTGCTCAACAAACAGGATACTGTCAGCAAACGCATGATTGCCAAAAGTCCCATGAAACAACGACAAATGATTGGTGTCATTTTGAAGGCATCGGCACAAGATGCGTATGAATTGGCACAAATGGATGCCATGGATGCTCAACTGTATCAACAAGAAAAATGTTGTGATACTATTACTACTACTACTACCAATGATGATGAACAGAACAAGGAACAAGATGGATTCAAATGCTTCTTGTTTTGGGATCTACCAAAGTGGTTGAGTCCCAAGAACAACCACAAATTCATTGACACAAACACTGCAGAGGACAAGAATGATGTTCCAGCAGCACCTGCCATTGTGGATCTTCCAATATAACAACAACAACTACTACAACAACAATACAATTGGGACGGATCTACTATGGTGGGGAGGATTCTTTCATTGACTCATTCATTCATTGATTCATTGAAATCATTCATTCATTCATTGACATGGGTTCGTTTCTCATTGCAATTTGTACACACTATATATCATACACTATATATCATATAACCCATTGTATTATTATCATTATCACTGTCATTATTATTGTTACAGTATTATCATGCATTTCATATATTATAAAACAAATAAATTTGAATAAGTATCAAAAAGAGTCAGTCAATATTATTATAATACCACCTCTTGACACCATCCATGATGTGATGTTTTGCGATCTTAGCTGTGCATGCATGAGTACCTGCATGGTACGCGCGGAATATGCATGATGACCAAGATGCCATCCATTCCATGAGTCAGTCAGTCATCAATATAAAATCAATGGTCATCGGTCGCAGACAGAAGTTTTTATTTATCGGACAAATTTGAAAATGATATAAACGGACGACTGAAGAATTACGCAATGAAGAACGAAACAGTGCAACAATAAGTTGAAAGTCCAAATGGACCACAATAAGGATGGAATAATGGACCACAGGATTCATTTTTGTCATACTTTCATATTGGAATCACTGTAAGTTTGTCTATAGTTATATATAATTTTTTAAAAATAATGATATGTATGGTTATTGTATATTCCTACACTATAAGAAGATGATAGATAATATGATGATACTGATGCATGGACCAATCTGCACGCGGACACATCCAGCACCAGTTCCTAGCACTTACTAGCGCAAATGGGGCATGTTCAAATTGGATCTACCAGCAGCACCAGCACCACGACCATTGCGAGCTGCTGGTCGAGAGGCCAAACTGTATCCATCCATGGACCATTCGTCCATGTCAGTAAAGTAGGGTGATTGAGGTACCGAAGCTGTTACGGAGGCTTCTTGTTGTTGTTGTTGTTGTTGTTGCTGTGTGCCTTGTTCGTCGTCATCGTCGTCGTCATCGTCGTCGTTGTAGTCTTCTTCATCTTCATCATCTTCATCGTCACCACCTTCGTCTTCGGAATCATTGCTGGGTTTGCGACTCAATATAGTAGCTTCGTCCACAGATGGTTGATCCATCAATCCCAATATTGAATGACAATGGACGCTGTAATCATCAGCCACGACCGTATTGTAATCATCGGGCATGCTGAATTCGTCATCCCTAGCATCATTCCCAAAGACAATTTCGCGTCCTCCATATCCCGAATAGGACGATATGGTAGGACTGCGTTGGAGGATGGAGGCTTCGTATTCGTCGCCCACACCAAAGTCGCCACCGACGCTATACGTGCCTTCGGAAGGTGCGGCAGCGGCGGCTGGTTTGCGATGATGATCTTGGAAGGGATTGTAGGGATTGGAATCCAATAGAGATGTCCGGTTCTTGCGCGCCGCCGACTCGGGGGAATCGGGGACTTCTTGTGGCATCATCTTCATGGCAGTGGAATTGGGTCCATTGTTCTTGTACATGGAGACTCGTTCTTGGAGGAAACCAAATTTGGATTTGGCAGCATCCAACTTTGGAGCCAAATTGGACTTGGCGGCATCCAGCTTGGGGCCCACTGTGGACTTGACAGCATCCAGCCTGGGACCCACTTTCGATTTGACAACCTCCAACTTGGGGCCCACCTTGGACTTGACGGTTTCAGAGAGCCGCTTGCCAGCTTCGACTCCTCTTTCGATTCCATTACTCAATCGAGTCATGGCGGTTCGCTTACTACTGGATCCTGCACTGCTAGATGCCAACGAACCAGTAATGGAAGAACCACCCAACGATTTCTCATGAATCTTGTCCCATGGGATCTTCTCCTTGTATCGGTAGGCAAGTACACCCGCAACTACCATGACACCCACAAAGGCACCTGCAATCGCTCCGGCTTGGCCACCGGATTGAGGAGAACCATCTGGTCCCAGTGAAATGGAACCAACGTCAAGATCACCACCCAAGACACCACCACCCAACAAGGGCGATCGAAACTCTTCATCCTGAAAGACTAGTTCACCGACTTCAATATCGTTGTCACGAAGCTGACCAAGGAATTTATAGACATTCAATCCATCGAAGAAATCAAAGAACCACGAATTGGCGTGGGCGTGGGTATGGAGCTTGAGCTCTTCGACCGAGTTGGTTCGGACGGTAAGGATACAAGACACTAGCATATTCGTAACAATGATATCGGGTAGATCGACATTTTCTCCTTCACTGTATTTGACTTTTAGGTCGTATGCTACGAGAGTATCGCCGAGAATCTCTTGAAAGTATGGCGTCAAGACGGATTCCAAAGAAGAAAAGATTTCTGATTGCCTGTCGCCCAAATGAACCGAGCTGTGTGCTTTCAATTTCAATTCCTGTGGATGCAGGTCTCGAGTGATGGAAGGGAAATTGCTGGAAAAACTCTGAATGAGATCACGAGGATAATAATTCTCGTTTGATCCTCGAATCCCACGTTGTTGTTGTTGTTGTTGTCGTTGTTTGGTTGCCACTAGACTATCATGATCAATGGTACTACCGTGAACAACAACAGCAATCAGCTGAAGGAACAGGTAGGCGATGATGGCGTATATACGTATAGTCGCCATGGTTCTATCGTTGTATTGTACTATATTGTTGTTTGCTTTGCTTATCGTCGTTGAGACGTTTGCTCCGTAGAAAGGAGTTCTGACGAAACATGGCGCATGCGTTGAAAATGTGGGAGCACCTTTTCTTGTGGAAAATAATTACTAGGTGCGCAAAAATGCAAATGGTCCGTCCTTCGTGTCACCACGCCAATCGGAAACGATATAATGATCGAGAAAATAATAAAGTCGAGGGCGCATTATTGTTTTATGACGCTTTATTGCCACCATTGTTCACAATTCAAGACTGACTCTCCTCGATGAACTTAGTATTGCCAAAAGAACAATAAGCATTGTTGATCTATTGGTCGAGATTTATATATGCAACAATGGCAATCTATATCCAAGTGTAGTCAGGACACCATCACAGTGTGATGAATCATGGAAGAATACTCCTCGCGTCATTCGAGCATAGGTGGAGAGTATACTGGCATGATCCATCATACTTCTCCAACAAGTCTCCGTGGAATATCAAGCATGCTTTGCATATTTTTTCTTTTGACGCAGTGGGTAGCAGTGTAGCTGCCATTGGAAACGAATGAATTCGGGATTATACTCGCAAGTTGACATGCCCTCTACATATTATTGGTCCATTTGATTGATCAGCTGCAAGACGATGGATACATTCTTGCGAATTTTACGTCGCAAGTATACAAGATAAAAGAGGAATGTCAAACGAAGCATTTTGTTTTATTGAGGGGTACTACTTTGGAACGTCACAAATACTACTACCAAGTATGCAATCCATCATCATCCAGCACAGCCCAAAGCTCGGAACAAACAACGACTCAAGACAAAAATGCATAGGATTGCCAGAGGCGAAAAAAGGGAAGGGTTGGCTGATGATATGACACTGATTGAAGTGAATGAACAAGTCAATCGTTTCTGACTACCAACTATACAAGATAAACGAGGAATGGAAGGATTTTGTTTTATTGATTGGTACTACTTTGGAGTGTCACAAGTTCATCATTATCCAGCACAGCCGGAGGTGCTGCAGTGCCCAAAGCTCGGAAAAAACAACGACGCAAGACAAAAAAAAAGCAAAGGATTGCCTGAGATGGAAAAAGGGAAGGGAACAAGTAGAAGCAGAACCAGCTGATGATATGACACTGATTCAATTGAATCAACAAGTCAATCGTTTCTGACTTCTTTGATTTATGTGTCACAAGGGGCAACCACCATTATAGTATTTGGGGCAATAATGTTTCACGGAAGAAGTTTTCCAAAGTTGCAACGAATGCAAAAACGCAAGTAGTTGAATCCTTGACGAGCAGTGCAAGGCGCATCGAAATTGGCTGCTACAGTGCAAACTGAATCATTCTTAATCAGTCAACTTTCGCCATCCTGCTGTTGGACCTGTATCTAGTGATAAAAAGAAGAATGACCTAAAGGCAACTGCAAATAAGTTTCACAAAGCTGATGGAACACACAACACACACACATTCCGGCGATGACCATTCCCTATTGATTTCGAGATTAGCGGTGAGCTCATTTGAAGGCCTCTCTAAAGTATGAAGGCAGCCACTTTTGTATCGGCCTTTCAGAGCATCTTTGACTCATATTGATTGTTGTTATTTTAAACGCAATGGGATCTTTCAAATGCATACAAGCAAAGAAGCTAAAAGGCAAGCCAACATGATACATCACAACAGATAGGAACTCTTCTCTTTGTCTTCCATCATATGCAGCGCATTGAATTAGATGCAAAAGAGGTATTTGGAAGATTTGAAAGCAACATTGGACTGCGGCCGAATCCATGTACAAAACGCAAACCTGTGCAATAAAAGTCACTGCAAAGGAATGATTTTCTACTCTTAAAATCTATATGTATTGATGATTATCAGCCACTGGAAGTTTCGACATTCCTGCCAGATCCCTCATTGGTTTTCGAGCTGTGGCACCAATCATCAATGGTACTAGAACAGCGCGTCGATAGTTTGGCCGTGGCAATCACTTTGTTTTTGGCAGAACGTAGCTCCATTGTGGCACCATCCTCCATATCGATCCATTTGACAGAAGAAAACGTTGAACCACGATTGGGATAGTGTGTAATGCTGCCATTCTTGTAGACCTCGACATATCGTTCTTTCCATAAATAGGGAGGCCAACGGCTTTGAATGCGTAACCAGCCTTTCCGAACCACATGGCCCGATCCCTGTGCCATGCCTTGAAACCTTGGCTCACTAGAAGAGTCCATCTTTCCTTCTAACTTGGTGAGCTTTTCTTCCAAGCGTGCAACTGCTTCACTGTCAGAGTTAGTGGACGAGGGTGCTGATTTTACCATTATCTGTCGTCCTTGTTCTTCAGAGAGATTTACTTCGTCTCGCGGATGTTCAGCCATCAATTTGATAGGACTACCGCTTGGTGGTGGTGGTGGTGCTGTTACCGATGATACCAAAGTCCCACCCTTTGCCTTTTCATCTTCTCCATTGGCAGGGCTTCTCGTTACAACTTGCTTTTCCTTTTCACTTCGAGCTTCGGCAGCTAGTTTCGCATTCTCCTTCTCCCGTTCTTCGAATGGCATCCCCAAGCATTTAGATCCAAACTTTTTGAAGAGTGGCTCCACATCTGGATGCACATACTCAATCTCCTCCCCAACATCACTCATTCCCTTGACAAGACCACAACGTTTGAATTCCTCATCTTTAATGAGAGTGCCAATGCCTTGATACGACTTTTGAAGCCTAGCTCGATGCTTGGTTCCCATTTCAGCAGTAGGTGGGCCTTCGCCAGAGGCTGCAGTATCGATTTCGTCCGTGAATCGTTCCAGCAACATGTCCGCAAGGGAATCTTCCTTGTCATCGCCTCCCATTCCATCCACCAACAAACCTTGCATCTCAGAAAAGAGAGATGAAGCCTCCTTCAATCCTTCTTCAGCCCCACTTAACGATGGGAGAGGAAGTCCAAATCCACGACCCACTGCAAAACCTACTTGGAAAATCTTCAGTCCGATGAGAATGGCAGGCCCATACTCCTTGATCCATCCCTGGGGCAACTCAATATCATACCCAATCGCTTCACCGTCTGCTCCCACAACTGGTTGTAGCGATATAGGACAAATGAAACACAGCCTCGCCTTGGTGTTGAAAATGCTGGTATTCTTAATCTTTGACAGAAAGCCAGAGAACGCATTCTTGTCCTTGCCTTGTTCCGCTGGTGGAAGAATCACAAAATGCTTTGGTTGCGACTTGTCCATCCCTTGAAAGATGCTTTTCAAAAGAGAATTGGCGACTTTTTGATGGCTCAGGACACTCTTTAGTGCTTTGTGTATTTGATCAAAATTTGTTTTAATGATTTCTCGATTCTCCAAAGCTATGGTCTCAGTCCGTGCAGCTATGGTCTCAGTCCGTGCAACTGTTGTCTCAGTTCGTGCAGTCGTTGTCTCAATTCGTTTCATTAATTCATTCGCTGCTTGCACGTGTTCCGGTTTGAAGTAATCGAGCTCTAGCAGTTTTTCCATCGTCCACCGATCTGTCGGTTCACGGCAAAGCATGTGCTGCAGCACCTCACGAGCATACTTATCCGTTACTTTGCGATTCAATATGATCTTCATGTCTTCATCAGTCCAGTTGTGTAGCTGTCTCATCACGTCACCGTCTGTGATATCGTTCTCATTGTTCACCTTGAACAAAGGCTCCTTTGTCACCAGCTCGAACAACAGCACACCAAACGACCATACATCCAGACTGGCATCGGCCTCCACAAGCCCATACGGCAGCCCATTCATGTTCATTGGCATTAGCTTTTTCTCGACCTTGTCTTTACCCTCGAATTTGTCAGTTGTCTCGACCGTCTGCTCCTCCTCCCAAAACGAACGAACGACAAAGTATTGCTTGTCTTGCCCAGTTGTGACCAAGACCTTTCGTTTTTGCTTCTCATCATCGCTTGCTGTTCCATTCTGGACATACCGCTCGAACATTTCCAACTCTTCTCGAGTGTTCAGCTTACATGTCATCTCTGGTGGAAGCACTCCAGAAGAAAACTTGGATCCAGCAGAATCACCAATTTTCGTCGATGCATCCAAATCAATCAGCTCCAGTAGATGAGTGATTCTCACCACATTCAACATTTTGATGTCACCATGAATGATCTTCATCTTATGCAAATGCTGCAAGGCCTCTCCCACTTGCTTCATCAAATGGCGAACCGTAATTGGTGTAGGACGTTCACTTCGAAAGATAGTGTCCAAATTCCGATCTCCATAAGGCATCACAAGGACATTGCTGTAATTCTCTGCCGAAACACCCACCTTCTCCCGAAATGTCTGGTTGGCGGTATCCTTTCCTGATGCTTGGACCAAATCATGATTTCCAATACTACCAACCACATATTTCGAGTCCAGATTATTCTGTTCCCGACGCTCCACCTCTCGGCAAAACTGATCCTTGTTCTGCATCAGCTTTAGAACCACATTGCCACCAATTTCGGCCAAGCAAAAGTCCACAAATTCTTCTTTGGAAATCTTTTTCGTTCGGTCAACATCTGCCCGTTGGAAGAGACCCTTGATGTTTTTCTTGTCGTGTGGGATCAACTTCAACTTGCCCAATATCTCCTGGAACAATTCCTCGTCTACTTCTCTTCCTTCATATGGTTTATACTCTGCTTCAAAGTACTCCCTCATCTTGGCATCCGTTGCCTTGACCACAACACAAGTTGCCGACTGGTGAATGGGTGGTCCTCTTGCAATATCGTAGCGGCCGAGAAAGAACAATCGGTCTTCAAACACTTCTTGGATGTGTTTGGATGCCACCGACTTTGCAGTGCGCTCTGATTGATCCTTGGTTTCGGCAAGCTGTCGGACTCTTTCGATATCCACAGTTTCAAGATAGTCCAATAACTTGCTCATGTCTGGGTCATCCGTTCCGTCGCCCATATTGTTCGCCAAGAATTGCAACCACCCATTGCGTTCCGGAATCGAAAGCAAACGACGTGTACCATCGACAATGGAGCCGATATACATTGCTCTCACTTGGTGAAGAATCGATTTTTCGTCCCCCGAGTTCTCCAACAATTCGGAATTCTTGATTGGATTGCAAGCATAGACATTCACTATGTCATTCAAGGTGATCAAATGCTTTTCATCTTCATTGAGTGATGTGTACAATCGAATGTGAATCGCTGGATTGCCACTGGGAATCTTCAAAAATTGGAGATTGGGGCAGTCTTCGAGGATATTCTTGGGGACAACCGTCACGTTGGGAGCAAAGTAGACGTTTTCAAGACTAGTACACTCGTAAAAGGCTCCTTCTCCAATCGTTTCCAACGCAGTTGCCTTGGTGAAATCAATTTCCTTTAGATTTTCACACTGCTGAAAGGCCTCCTTTCCAATCGTCTTGACATTGGATGGGCACTTGAAAGCAAGGAGACTAGGACAATCGTAAAAGGCTTGTTCTCCAATCGTTTCCAACGCAGTTGCCTCGGTGAAATCAATTTCCTTTAGCTTTGCACAACCCCTAAAGGCATATTCTCCAATAGTCTTGACATTGGATGGGCACTTGAAAGCAAGGAGACTAGGACATCTGTAAAAGGCTTGTTTTCCAATCGTTTCCAACGCAGTTGCCTCGGTGAAATCAATTTCCTTTAGCTTTGCACAATATGCAAAGACTCCCTCCTTAATAGTTTTTACATCGGATGGGCACTTGAAAGCAAGGAGACTAGGACAATTGTAAAAGGCAAATTCTCCAATCGTTTCCAACGCAATTGCCTCAGTGAAATCAATTTCTCTCAGGTTTTCACATTCCTCAAAGGCATCCACTCCAATCGTCTTGACATTCGATGGGCACTTGAAAGCAAGGAGACTAGGACACTTCCGAAAGGCTGAATCTCCAATCGTTTCCAACGCAATTGCCTCGGTGAAATCAACTTCCTTTAGCTTTGCACATTCCTTGAAGACTCCCTTTCCAATCGTCTTGACATTAGGCCCGCGCACAATCAACTTTGTCATTGTTCGTTTGATTTCGTCTGTGATTTTTTTGTCTTCACTATCGTACACAAATTCGACATATTCGACAATCTCTTCTTCTTCATCATCGTTGTTTGATTTTGGTGGCATTTCTTCTTTCTCATCCATTGTACCCGGTACTTTTATTGTGTAATATACTGTACTGTACTGCTGTGTAATGAGTGAGTCAGTGATGATGATGAGGATACCTGTAAATGATTGACGATCGACGATAAAACAATGACTCACTCTGGCATGTACACGTGTACGTGTACCATGCACTACGCAAACCCTACAGTACAGTCAGGTGCCAGAATGACTTTGATGACGGGCACGCGCGTGCAATCAAATACTGCATGCAGCATTTGGAATATTGAAGATACGAGTATGAACCACGCACGCAAAGCCAAATAAAGGTGACTGTGCTATAGGATGCGAGATGCGTTGTACTGATACGAACGTGTACGATTGCAAGCGGTCTGTGAGTAGTAAGGATAAATCGGCTGCTTACGAAAGCTGTCGATGAACGATGAACACACTCTTTTTAAGAATACGTTTGATTACAATACTGTCTACCGTCTACCATAGCTACTACTTCGTAAGTCAACAACATCGTAACGCAGTGACGATAATATTTACATGGTTTATCAGACCCAGCAATAACTGCCGAAAGTTATTCAACGAACAAAAATGAAAATGAACATAAAGATGCAAATGAAAATAAAAATGAAAATACAACGACCACGAAACGGCATCGAGCGTACTACGAACGCTATGATGGGTGACACAACACCAATGGCAAATGTTATAATGAATGGGTGCCGCAACACCGACGAAAACTGCAACCACT